TTCAGTTTTGTACTTTTTCAAATGCCGTTTTAGCCAAAAATAGCAGAGTGAATATGACAATTTAAAGAGTCAAGTAGTTGTATGAATTGGCGAGGTTGAGGGAAAGGTTGAAATTTTGGCGGAAACTGAATAAGAATAACAAACAAGAGTTCTCCTTGATTTTCAAATTCCCCTTTAGTCTAGCTTCAGAATCTTTATCACACCGTTTGAATCAAGCATCTTAGTATAAACATTTAAATGAACACAAAAAAGTTTTTTAGTAAAGTTACTTCAAGAAATTGTATATAATCATTTTCCGGTACAGAATTAAAAAATGGCTTTGAAAAACCCAAACATTTTGAGACATGCCAAAGCTTTTCATCTGACACTCTTCAGAGTAAAAAACTTCAAAATATAGATTGAAAATTCTACGCTGGGATGTATAAATACCAAGTTATATCTTCATGTTCAACAGTTCTTAAAGATTTGTTAGAAAAAACGAAAAATTGAAAAGAAAACAGATTGGACTATGTTGAAGGGCAAGAATTCTAGGCAAGGACAATACATATCTCCAAAATATAAACTTTTCACCGTGCACAACTGTAGCAGGGCCTTCTTTAACATACTATCTAGAGGGATAATTGCTCCTGCAACCCAAATGACTTTCTATTGTCTCAAACAATAGGCTACCGTCCCCCTTTTTATATAAACAAATGCTGCCCCGCAGCTAATTTCCCTTGAAAAAAGGCTATGAACTGTAGTTGTATGTTACATGACTTTCACGTTACAAGCGTTTTATGAATAGACTCGAATATAAATGATCACTTTGAGTTATGCATTAACCATTCCTTTAAACATGTAACGAATCTAACCTTGTACCCCACAGCCTGGAAATTTAATGCAAATCTGAAAGTTTGTACCGATGTAAAATCCTCTTTTAGTGCAATAACAAATACCACTAAGTTTAAAAGGCTGAGCTGAGATTCTGCATGGATTTATCGTCAATCAGGTTTTACCACGGGATATATCTGTGCTTATCCAGTTTCATGCTGGATAATCATAACAACCTGTGGGCGGAATGAGCATGGTTAATGAATAATAACTGTTTTTGTTACATGGGGATCATTAATAGAATTTTGTTTGATCTGTAGCACCTCTCAAAGAGACTGTTTGCAACTTGTACCAAGCAACGGGCGCAAGTTATCCACTGTTGTGACACTCCTACCCGCGATGTTTCAGGGAAAGAAAAATCTTTTCGAATTTTTCTTGAAATGTAGAAGAGTTTTGCTGGAAAATAAAAAAATATAACTAATTGAAAAAGGCCCAGGAATACTTTCAAAGAAAGAAATTTCGCATGACATAAGGCTTATAAAGGGCACATAGATTCTCATTGATACTAAATTTAGCTGACAGAAGACCAGATGCGTTAAAGTGTTGGTTAAACAAACAAGTTGGGCATTCTGTGAGCTATGAAACTCTTTTACCTTCAGATTTAGCCTTTCACAAATGTTTGTTATATGGTTTTAGCTTTCTGTTCAAGATATGACAATTCTCATTTGAAGGGTTATTGCTATTCTACCTTATTTTCTAAGTTTAACATACATTAAGTTGAGCATGGATATGCAGCAAAATTAATCAATGTTAGAAAGTGGTATTTTTCTTTCACCGAAGGAAAATGATACTTTAATTATTTGGAGTTTACAATTTGAGTATGACAGGGAGTGGGAGTATGAGAATATAATCACAGATTGGTGGGAGCAGAGGCATACAGGGTAATCCTGCAAAGCGGAAAATGGTAGATTCAAAAGCAGAAAGGCCAATTTTAAAGGAAACCTTATCAAATGAAGCATTTGAAACGGTAGCAAGATTCTCTTGGCATTCCAAAATTCCCTTGCTGATTAGGGAATTAACTGTGGGAAGAATACGACCAACGGCTAGTTCAGTAAAAGATTTTTAAAACGAGGCGATGGTATGGAAAGGAGGCATTTGAACGACATTTCTGTTAGCAGTTACTTGGAAACTGAAGGGAGCTGGCTACTCTGTTGACATATATACCCTTTGCTGTAAAATTGATCTAGCCGTGCAGAAAGCAAACTCTTTAAAACTGCATGCACATTTAGTCCATTCATTTGTGCTTAGTTGCATGATATTAATTCCACAGGTGTTGCATACAAACTTTGTCTTTGAACACTTTCATGTCTTGTTTCCTTGTTCCCAGTAGAAACAATTAGCTGCGATGAACCTTTACTTAATTTCTCACGCTCCTGTCCCTGGGAATGTATTAAAAAGTCATAATATGCTTTAGTAGAGATAATATTTAGCAACTTACCTATTTACATAGACTTGGAATTTGAACCGTTACAACCCTACACCGAATAGCATAATCCTGTAGATCTGCCAATATATTTAGTTAAACAGATACAAAAACTAACATTTGTGTTGCAATTCTTATGTCGCGTCTTAGGCTCAGACGGTATCAGACAGTTTTGTACAGCTGTTGGCCGAGAAGGGATGAGTTTTTGCTTTGTTACGCTTATTGGTTCCAATCCACGGAACGGCTTCCCGTTTACATGGGTAAACAAGCGATAATTTCATGCTTAGGCCTTCAAGATCTTCTGGGTGTGACTGTCTATCTCGATTCCTTTTCGTCCCAGCACAGCTTTACATGAGCGCCGCCTTCATCAAGCCAGAAATTTAATTTGTCCCTCGGGCTGATTACAAGAAACACGACTCCCAGAGCTTTGCAAAAAACTTTTGATGATCAGTAATTGGGTTAGATTGTACATTAGCTAGAGGCATTTATTTTTCTCGAGAAAGCCTTTTCAAGAACGTTCAAGCCAAAAGTTGACCAAATTTATAAAATAAACAGGGAGAATATCCAATAATAAAATGGGCGTACCACTCTTCCCACCTCCGCTATCTCCTACACCTATGAATTATGATACTTGATTTTCGTATTTTGCGGCATTGTTAGTCTTGGTTTCACTATGCTGCAAAAATACAATAAAGTTACAACTTGAGCTGATAGGAAAAAATACACGTTACATCCGATGATTTTCATTCAAGAAAAAGAAAATGAAACTTTAAAGAATATTCTTCTCTACTTTTTTCAGGGGATAATTCAAGGTCAAAGCGTCAAAGCACATCATAAAGCAAAAAAGGTTTGTTTACCAAATATTAACAACATCTCTTGGGGGTCTATGCCCCGGTCAATTCTTGCCCCCTTTTGGTTCGGCCTCTGTTCTTATGTGAAAATTAAGCAGCTTGCTATTGACAAAGATCAGGCTAACTCAGCTCATGATGTCAACGTGAATTGATTAAAATTTAAAAACAGGGACAAGGAACACAGAGGCACCCCCACAGGCATTATCACATCAAAATGGAAAATCAAACTAAATATAAATGGCTCTACATTGAGGCTACATTCGCCAAAGTGCTATCACTGCAGTACACTAGAAAATTTGTAGTAATAAGTTCTTTATGAGATACAATACAGGACTTTTACCTATAGCTGAATTCTATTGAGACTGATTTGGTGGGCCATTTGACGTAACCACTTGACATGCTCCAAACCCAAGGGAAAAGCAAAATTTACTCAAATCAGCATTCTCTGTGAAATGCCTGAAAATTGCAATGTAATAGTAGGAAATTAGGTGACTCTATCTTGCATTCAAATTCTATGATACGTTTCCTTAGCCATCTTAACAAGTTGGTCCGTTTTTTAGCATCCCTACGTATCTACATCCTCATAACAAAATTGTTCCTCTTTTTGAATGTTTTGTACAAAGTTTGTGAGCGCTGAATGCTACAGAGCGTTTGTTTTGCATTTGCGTGACACATTGAGAGCTATAAAACTATCGCAGGTAGTTAAGCCTTGGGCATTGAAATACCACTTTAAAAGTGTTTCCAGCTGATATTCGTCCTTAATAGCCTCGAGTGTTCAATATATGACCAAACAGGGCTTGCCCTACAGAGCTTGTTTTCAGTTCCACCAGAAACATATTTGGTCTCTAATTTTCTAGAACTAACATATCGTAACTATAATTTCTAAATAATTCTTCATACAATAGATATTTTTTAACTTTGTGCCAAACAGGGCTCGAAGCACTGGGGATAGGGTGGGTAGCTTTTGTTTCAGATGACAAAAGGGTGTGATTCTAAACGGGGTCGTTGTGTGAAAACGACTAAATAAATATTGGGTAGCCTGCATACATAGTTGATGCCCAACAATTTGTAAATTTTCTCAATTTAAAAAGTCACCCTCCCTTCTTCAAAGTTTTTTGTTCAAGCCAATGTCTTATTAAAAAATCTTCAATAAGAAATCTTACTTTCCCTTGAATGCCTAAATTAATTAACGTTTTATGCTCATAGGGAATATTTTTGTATTCTACACAGTTAAAAATATAAAATTAAAAGAAACATATTTACAAAAACAATTCTATTAAGAGCATTATAGGCATTGCTACCAAATTAAACTTAACAAATAAAAAAGCTAAAAAAGGTATAGGTCACTCCTTAGGGATGGATCGTAAGATACAGCAGCTACAACTTAAAAATATGCATGCAGATTTTGGTTTAGTAGAAACATTTAATGCTTTAGAAGATAACTTAAGATGAAATACGAGATTAATTTACATAGGTTGATATTTGCTTGTGTTACCAGAAATGTTCTGATTTATCAATGATTTTTGGTGCTGATTTTCTATTTTACTTAATACAAATATCTAAAATCGCATGAATATCTATAATATATCATGCCCCAACTCCCGAGTCCATGTTGGGTGCAGGGGCGTAGCTAGCAGGGGGCCATAGGGGGTATAACACCCCCCAATACATCATGAATTTGTCGTTTAATCTTCAATTTGTTCACAAAATCCTTAGTTTGTCAGTAAAATGATCTATCAGTAGGTGAGTTGGTACCTAAATTCTTCTACATCTATGTCTTCGTCGGTAAACCTTTCTATTGATGAAACTCCCCCCCCCCCCCCCCACTAATCTGTAAAATCAAGCGACGCCACTGGTTGGGTGTATTTATTGCAATGTTACAAATATTGGCATTGAACTAGGGGGTCTATTGTCTATGGTTAATGTAACATCAGAAATAAGAATTTAAATTTGACGGGGGTTGGGGTGGCGTTTTGGGGATTTGGGGGTGTTGGGTGCAAAATCTCAATACCGTCTGCCTCTGATCGAAGAACGGAATTATGGATTGCATGGCTTGTGTTTCTGTGCATGGCTTGTGTTTCTGACAGGTAGACAGACCTCGAGATTTTTTAAATGAAAATCTTTTTGAAAAGGGGAAGGAGAATGTCTAAGGTGACCTCAAATGGGACCAATTCTATACGTGACATCGACCAGATATTTGACAAATCAGCATGGTACGAAGAATGTATGGAATTTGTTTGTAACTGTGTATTAGCAAATATCATCAAAGGATGGGCTTGTCCTGAGAAAATTCCTCAATGTCAACTAGCCTTGTTTGACTTTTTCAGTAACTTTATTTGTAACAAAGATGTACAAAAGATATCATTTGCCAAAATAAGGTACAAATATTGGCTTGGGAATTTTGTGGCCAAAGTATTTGTAGTCCCCCTAAATATATAATTCTTCAAAACAAAATTTGGTTGAAAACTTTATGCATAAATCTATGAACACTTTCTCGCTTCCACCGTCAGGTGAGGTATGTAGCTTTATGAACAGAGCCAGGGTAACCTCAGAAAAATTCTAAAAAAATAAGGAGAAGTAGAGAAGGGTTCCTCTTGGCATTAACAAAGGAATTTTGCACATACACCCAAGCATGATATAACAAACTTGCAATTTTATAAACTTCTTGATTTACAGAATATTTTGTTACAGGGTTCATTCAAGTAATGTCTCATTCTGGGTTGAGATCAAATTATCACAATAGTCTCGAAAACAGAGGATTTATGTATAATCAGCTATCACATCAGCTTTATGCAACAGGACCTCAAAAATTCTTTTAAAAAACTCGATCCTTTTTCCATTCCATCATTGTATTAAATGTACCATTCTCATCCTTCAATTTTCATTTTCCACCCTTCCTCTTAAAATCCAAAAAGTTACCCGATGACTCTCGATTGGCTCTCTAGAAACCAATATGCATGTGTAACAACCAATCAGATCGCGACACACTTTGATTACGAATCGGCAAATTTTAGCAAATTGAGTTCAATGTACTGTGAAAAACAAGGAAGCTAGGGTCTCCTGTTTGGATCAGAGATCTCTAATCTTAAGATTTAGTTTTTTTCACGAGAATCTTTATCGAACGCAATTTAACCTTTCTCTTTAAGATATGGCTTGCACATTGTAAATTCAAGACAATTGATAATACAAGCTGACATGCATTTTCCTGATATTATTGTTGAAATATTGAAATGACCTTCAGCAATCCTGATGAATTTCTGGCTGAATATTGTAAATATATACGTGGGTGTGAATTTACAAGGATAAACAGGCAATCGAATCGGCACCTTGTCAACGGTTAGGCCAGCTCGGAAGGGTGGTCTTAGGAATTTCGCTTTGGGTCACGAAATGTCCTTGATAATTATTTATAGACCTTGCATCGTTCAAAATGTAATCAACTTGACTCGAGCTGAGGTACTTCACAAGAAACCTGAATTAATTCATCAAGCAGAGGACATTCCTTTCCCTTCCAATGTTGATACGCGTCATTTCGATAATTTCATGTTTGTTTCAAGTCCTTACCATCAGAGCCCCAAGCTCTTCCAGGGAACTTGTAACAACCCAATTACAATGAAAATGTTCAGTAAGATATCTTATTGTATTGGCCTTCATTTTACATAATGAAATGAAAACGCTGTACTATGAAATGAAAACGGTATCGTATGAAGGCTAACAAGTTTAAGGAAAGTTTTACTGGGAGTATAGGGGGTGCAACTGTGTCCTTCGGTGAATTTTGCAACCATTTGGTAAAAGAATATTTTTGTAGTCAGTAGTAACAAAATGATGCAAAAGTTAGCTTTTTATCTTCTTTCTCTAAAAGTTGAAACTTAAAAATAAAAACGGGCGATTTCATCATTTTCAGGTCACCGGAAGAGTGTGGCACCAAGCTCCAATCATTGTCCAACACCCCTACCAACCCTTGTCGCTTACATCAGACCCTGCAGAAGTAGCTTCCTTGTTAATCCGTTATCAGATCGTTTTGGATCTAATTCTATTCCATCTTAACAGTATCTAAATAACTGCAGATTGCTCCAGAAAAAACACACGCTCTTGTTGGTTTTATTGATGTTCTCGTAACAGCATTTTGATGAGCAAGCCATATGTTTTATGTGATTTTCCCAACAGTAGCGAAGAAACGCTACGAAAGAAAGAAATATGATACTCCACAAGGCGTCATCCTAGACACTATGCTGTTTGAAAATTTATTATTAGACTCAAGCCAACTTGCTTTGTCGAAACATAGCTAAATAATCTTGTAGCATAAGCTTCACTTTTTGCAGAACAAATTTACTACAATTTGTGATATTTTTCTTGTATTCAAGATATACAATAAATCATACTATATACAACAGACAAGATACTCGGTTCTACCTTGAAAACCATGTTGAAAATAGAAACGTTATTGTCTCCTCATTCAACAAAGAATGCAATTGCTAATAAAAAGACAGTATCGAGTAAAAATACATTATTGCTTTGTCTGAAGTAATCGCAGTGGTGGATATTGGTAGCAAACAAGTGTATCTTGTTTAAGTTAAACCAAATCTGGAATGGAAAGCTGATCTAGGTCTAGTTATAAGAACAGAACAAGTTTGCAATGCTCAATTTGACCTCTAGCTTTAACGCAAGATCTTTTCAACAAAAGAAAGGATACGAAGTAACAAGAATTTGGTAAGGAAAACTGTACATATCGATGTGCAAACTAAGGACTAAGGAAATACTTCGGAAAGGATAGAAGATGTACAGGTTATGGATAGTCAATATGTCGATTAATAATGACCAAAAATTAATATAATTATAAACGACTTTGTTCCTTTGAAAGTTAAATATAGTTGCAACATTTTGTGCATAACTTTTCATCAGGAACCATATATTATTCTTCTTGATGAAGAGATATGCACGAAAAGTCACAATAATTTAACTTTGAAACGTACAAGGTCATTAATAAATTATATTGATTTTTGGTCATTAAGATTTTGGAGGCTTTATTTTAAGATACGACTTTCAGATGTTTACTGACCTCGCTAAACATCTTTCAGACGTGACACCTGAGATAGGAACTTTGTGACGAGATTCTTACAGAGTATCAGAGCTATAATGCGTGCAGCTTTACCGACTATTGACAAAAAGCGTAACATATCTCTCAATGGTGAGTTTGGTTGAGTATCTCGTCTTTCAATTAAATCTTAAAACCGCCCAGGAAGAACCACAATATTCCAGTAAATAATAAAGAGCTCATCAAAAAGTTTGCTTTAAAATTTGCACACCATGAAAGCCACTCCTGCAGTATCGTTAAAATCCAAATAGTCTTAAATATTCCCTATCTCTAAGATTAAATACTTCATCTTTGTTTATGTAGCACTTCAAAAACATTGATATTTTAAGCATGTTCAATAAAAAGAGTTCAAATGACATTTCAAGGTTAAATGCTTGGTTTATGCCAATTAGAAATGAAACGTCAGCCAAGGAAAAAAGTGCGCAAATCATCAGTAAGGGGTGAAGGAATTTCGATTTGTATCAGGGATTCTGAATAAAATCCATGTCTGAATATGTTCAAAAGAAAATAAGGGCTGGCAGGCAACGATTGATGCATTAAATGTCAGATATTAGATATCAAAATATAGTAAAAGTTATAGTCTTGTTATCTGGGGACATCAAAAACGAAACTCTCTCATTAACAAGCTAGATCTTGATTACAAGTTGCATTTGAGTGTTGAATCAGTTAGTTTGCAAGGAAATTCATTTTCGATATTGTGAATGACTGATCTTTCATTATAATGTGTTCAGACATTCTTTAAGATAGAAATGCCTTAACCAAAAAGCTAAAGGAAACCAGTTTACCCAATAGATTTTGTCATATTTTAAAGCAAGATGTATAAAAAGTTGTAACACATGAGTGCATAATCTGTAATGCTTTATGAAATCACCTCATGTTAATTGGATAATCGGGCATATGTCGTATGATTTAAAGGCATCAATATATCTTAAAACATGAAACATTTGCACAACTAAAAACGAAATGACAACCTGCAAGACGTATTTTCTTTTTGCTATCACCGTATTTAACATAAAGTTGGTAAACCCCAGACTATTTAACTTGGCTCCCCGATGTTTATATTCCCCATAAATCACAAAATTGCAAAAGGTAATAACAATTACACGGATTATTTACAAGAAACGGTTTTTAAGAAACCGACTCCTAAAATGATAAAAATTTTAAGAAACCGTAGGACTGATCACCCTCAACCTTATGCACCTGCTCGAAAATTACTTCTGTTTCATTTTATTTTGCGTTGCGTTTTTGCGTTTTCAAAACGTAACTCTGTATTAAGCCACTTTGTATTAAACAAGCCTTAAAGAAACATTTCGTATTAAAATCAACAAAAATTTTAGAAATTAAAGAGCTTATCCTAAGCTTTGTTTTTAATAAAAAGTTATGTCTATCTATCTACATAGTACTACTTATCATGAAAACTGTTTGATGTTAACGTTGTCACCTATCAAAAAAGTTCTTAACAGTGTCAGGCTTAGCATGGACTCGTCTCCACAATGTACTGTACCTTCGTTGTATCAATAGAGTAGAAATGGTAAAAAAATTACAGCAGCAGCCCCTACTAGACTATCTTTTAGATGGGCTATGAGTTTGACATACTTGCAATGAAAAAGTTTCCACGTTATCCACGTTGTAGTTTTATCTACTATCCAATACTGTTTTATTAGCTTGAAGAATAAAGCTAAGGGTGAAACCGGACAACCCCACAGCCATAGCTCCTGTGTCTCGTTTTAGCTTCCGATCTTAGGCGTCCAGTAGATGAGCAACAGCAATGCTCGTTTCAGGACGGAAACATAAATCGAAGATAAATAGGTCCAATTGGTAATCAAAAAAGACGATCACAAGCCCGTATCAGACGTCTGGAATTAAATATGTTCTTTGAAGCTCATCGATACTTGTACACTTCATGTGGCGCTCAAACGTAATTGCAGTTTTGCTTTGATTTATTGACAAATTCTCGCCCTGTATGTTAGCAGTTACTTTGATCAAGGACAACGATTTATCATGGTACTTCGCAACAGCTGCCCAAATTGACGGGGGATTCAATGTTTGCTGAATAATTTTAGGAAGCGAAGCTTTTGGCTGTACAAAGTGAATGTAGCGACCTGCTGTGAACGGCTAGAAGTAAAAAAAATGCCACGGCAGTTGGTTCAATGTATATCGTGTGTGTTCCTGAAAGTAGAAAATGGACCCTAATCTCTGATTCTGGGTTGCGTAATATGTACCCTTTTCACTGACTTTGCCAAAATTTTGTAATCCTTCCTTTTCACTAAGAATATTCAAGTTTGAGCAAGTAGTTTTGAAACAAATTCACTCAGAGTTGTTGGGAAGTCACATGATATATGTTTGACTAACAAACTGAGCCCGCCGGTAAAAAAGCAGCCTCCTCGCTCTACTGCGGTATCATGTATCAATTTAATGTAGGTTTGATCAATTTTTTCACTTAATGGTTCTTATTACTTCTTTCATTCCAATTAGGCCTTCAAAGCGATAACTATTTTGTTGAAAAATACATATAAAATTGCTTTGGAGCAAAGGTTCAAAAATTCTTTCGAGATAACAAAATACACAACAGAAGTTAATAGCTGCATCACAACAACCACTACATGTCAGCAATGTTTTTGACAATAAAATGGCAATGTTTAGTATTAAAAAGAGTTTTACATACAAGAGCAGGGAAGGGGAGGATGGAAGATGTACAGCTTATTTCAAAACATGTTTTGATATTCCATCACTTTTTTTTATAAGTATGTTGTAAGACAACCAAGCAAACAACAAAACAAACATGTTTTGATATTCCATCACGTTTTTATAAGTTTGTTGTAAGACAACCAAGCAAACAATTAAGGTTACTTATCCTTTGTATTTTGCATTTATAAAACAAATAACAAGATAAGCTAAGAAAAAAGATAAAAGTATAAATGCTATCCTCTTTGTTGCGATTCAAGTATAAATGCCCCCCCCCCCTCCCCATTAAAAAATCATATAGTTTTTTATTTAATGTAGTAAAAAACAGCCTCTCGCAATTGGTGGTCATAATTTTTCACTATTTTCAAAAAACATATTCCTGATAATAATTGAAATCTAGGTAATTAGAATACGACTAGTCATGCATTTTATTAAATTACTGGACAACTAAATCATTTTTTTTCTAGATTTTTTTACCATCTTTGAAAACACATTTGAAACAAAAACATTTTGGGCATATAGGGGACGAACCTTCCCTCCCTGAAGTATAATCAATTTTTCCCCTTTTTTGTTAAACAACAAATTCTGCCTTCACTCCTTCCCATCCTTCAACAAGCAGGGTCTAACATAGAACAAAACATAAAGAAACAATATCAAGTCAGAATTTATTAAAATCTATGTTGATAACCAACAATCATCATAATCTATGATAGCAGCATGATGCTTCTGGAAAGGGTAAATTTTCCCAAGTATAAAACTATCAGGACAGAAGTAGGCATTAGGCTTAATCGTTTTTGACAAAAATAAAAGCATGCAATAAGGGATATCAGATCTGGAAAGTCCACATTGCACTGTCAGTACAAATCATAACATTCAGTTCATTGTTAAATTTATTCATCTTTTTTCTTTATCAATTTACCAGTCCATTGCTCTTTTAAAAACATGATGAAATCAGACTCTGTCAGGAAAATGGCTGCAAAAACAGTTAAAAGGCAGACAGCGCCTACTGCGATATGAAAAATCTTGTAGATCCAACCACTACCACAACAAAAGACACTCTCTGAAACTGCTGTTATGACAAATGACAGAAGGAGCAATGCTGATACAAATCTTGATGGCAATGCTTTCAGTAGAGGGTTCTGGTGCGAGTCAGCAAAATACTTCTGGATAAACATATTGCTAGAGATAAAAATAAACACTTCAAAATAAAAAAAATAGCATCAACCATTTACCTGCAATAAGACAAAAGAAAACAATAAAGCTAAAAGAAAAGACTGAAATTACAAATGACTTACCTGTGTATAATTCTTAATCCCATGTTGATGCAGTTTGCTAAGATGAAACCAACACTGCCAAAGCCTTTAGTAAGTCCCAGTGATGCAACAAGAAATACAAGAGAGAAAGCTACCATATAATGATTATAATGGTCCACTTCATCTTTGCTCATCAAAGCAAACATGAAACATTCTGTAATGCCATTAACAGCAATGATCAGGACATAAACACAGTACCATCGTAGCAACGTTGGGCCTACAGAGATATGGAAAAGTTAGTAATAAATCATTTATAGCATTTTATGCCAAAATAAATAATTATGCATGTGCATTACAATTGAATCTGCTACAGGTTTTCTTTTTATCATAGGTTCTAATCTTTCAAAATTGTTTACTTTTATTGAAATAAACTGATAAACAATGACTACAAAGTTGAATATCTGAAAGGTTGAGGTCCTACCTTAAAAAGGAATGCCATAGATAAAGATTTTATAAATCATACCCATTTTTATTCAGCAAACTTTTAACAGATAGAGAACCACAAGATTCATAATATCACAGGGAGTGCAAGAATAGAATGAGACTATATCAGACTATATCTGGAATCAGGTGGACCGGAGTTATGCAAATTATTTACAGTACTAACAGAGTCCCTGAACAGTGTCCTAAAATGTCATTAAAACTAATAAGTCACACAAATAAGTTTCAAGAAAGTTGAGTCACTTTCTTTCTCTATCAGAAATAATAATCTCATAGAAGTAGCGATTGCAGCATGAAAAGCATACCTCCACCAGAACTCAAGAGTTTTCCTCCATATATGTCAAGGGCAAGGTATGAGTAGCTAAACCCAAACACCATGATTATTAATCCAGTAAGTGACACAAACTTTAATACACCAGACAGTATTCTTCCAGCAGTCTCTAGCTCCTTTGTGTTTTTATGCTGCTTTCCTCTCACAAGAATTTGACAAAACAAAACATAGTAACTGTCTTCAATAGGCAGAAAAACAAATCTTGCCACAAGAGAACCTAAGTTATTTATAACATCATAGATTCCTTGTTGGGCAAATGAAAGAACATTGAAAACAGTCATAATGTATCTTTCTCCTTCTGTTAAAAATTGCTTTAAGATTGACTGTTTTATGAAACTTAACACCAGCTTGCCATATGTAGGATCAATCCAATCATTGCCTACTGAATCAAATGATGGAAGTACATCTGTGACTTTTGTCAAAGGGAAGCCTTCTAATAATTCATAATTTTGTGTCTTTTGTTCCCCTTTTAATTTTTTACTGTTCTGGCTCTGATTGACTGAATAATACATAAAATAAAGATAATACAAGGAGACATAGCAAACTGTATGAACAACTTGGGAGACGCAAAACCAAGTAAATGCAGAATTTGGATGCAGAATTATGAAAAAAATACTTGATAAGCATTTTGCAGCCAAAGCCGTTGCTTCTATTAATACCCTAGCATGTACGAAGTGAAATTCTTGTCCGATAAGCCAGAGAGGCTCAACAGTAAGCTCAAAGATGGCACACAAGGCATAAACGCCCACAGCAACTGAATATTTGTTATCATACGTCTCTGAGGGGTGTTCGAGAATTTTCACCCACAACCAGCCAAGAATTGCTCCAGTGACACAACCGACGGGAACACAGCACCACACCAGATTTATAACTTGTCGCCAGTTCTTTGTAGACGAATTATTGGAACGACTTAAACAGGCTTTTCTGAAGGCCTCTCGAGATAGAAATAAAATCGACGAATATAAAAGTGTCAAACGTACATTTACTAAGCCAAGAAGCTCACTGGATACGTATCGAAGTACAAGGGCATTAACAAGAAATGTTAAAAGTCTAAATGATACTTGTAAAATCACATTGTAAGTCGCTGCTCTAGCAGCAACGCGTAATATGTTTTCAACAGCAGCCGCCATTTTAATGGGGAAGCCTCCAGTCAACGTTTCAGAGAAATTCATTGTAGCCTCAGTATGAAGTAGAGACTCCTGGTATTTACTAACGTGGATTTCCTTCCAAAAGGAGAATTCAGATTTGTCTGTTAGAAAAACTTAAACCATTTCTTAGATTTACTAATTCATGAGTTTAGACCATGAGAATTCAACAGTCAGATTCTACATAAGAGATGGTAAGTTTTTCAAAGAACAGAGAAGCTATACTGCTGAATCTCTTCTTGCTGCTTCTTGCTTCAGATCTTTTCTTAATTGTCTTTATAGAATCTTCCTGTTTATCTTTTATATCATATGATTTGCGGTAATTGAAAGAATAATCTTATTTCGTAATTGCGGCTTTGATGTGTCACAGATTCGCTAAAAGCACGAATTGATTTGTTACTTGCTTAAAGAGCAGGTATTTGTCTAGAACTGTTTAGCCATTGTATTAACAAGCAAAGTCTAGTCTAAGGAATATTACATTCGGTTGTTTTAATGTTTGAGAAATACTGTTTAAAATCTGCACTTTCGCTATTTAAAGCTATTAAGCCAGGAAAAAAATATCAAAGTAACCCTTATGGGTTAAATTTATTGTTAGAAATTAAAATTATACTTGTTTACAAGCATACCAATAAACATATTACTTGCTGAAAAGAGATTCAGAGCTCAGGAGAAGTAATTTAAAAAAAAATAATGTTATGACTGCCATTGAGGGCAAAAATAGCAAGTTATTTGACTGTCAATATCTTTTCTAAAAAATAGCTAATAAATTTTGCAGATTCTATTATGCTTTATTTCCACTGCTTTTTTCAATGGTAAGTTCTTCAAATGATATAGGCAGAAATGTCGATTCTGGGGGGTTTGAGGGTGTCACAGCACTCAATTTTTTATATATTTTTTTACTAGTCAGAAAATTCTAGTGTAATCAGAAAGTGTAAGTTTTAGGTCCAATGCTTGTTCACATCAGAGAAATTTAAATACGTAATGGTAATGCAGAGAAATCTCTCAATTCAGAAAGGAATGGACCAAGCCATTCAATTTAAGGATTCCATAATTCAAGGTTTAGAACAACTCCAATACTAAATTACAATTGGTTTATTGTCAATTGAAAATTTTGAACCCTCCTCCCCCTTCAAAAAATATTTTTTTCCCTGGATGTAAGAATTTATTTTGTCACTCATGAAATTTGCACTGTAATAAATTCCCTACTATAATAGATAGGCAAGATTGATAAACCTTAATCAAATAATTTTTTGACAATTTAATTTCTATCAGTAAGGTATTATATGTTTGCAGCTAAAGTTTCAGATAAAATCATTTCTGGGCCATCTGGCAAAATCTGAAAAGTGACTAGAAAGCAGAAAAGACAACTTCAGGATGTGACGGATTTTACACTAACATTGCATCAGTTTTATGTAATTCTTACTAGGGTGCCAAAGAGAAAAATTGCTAGTCAATTCAAGTAACAATTTTTCACATTTCATACTTTGCTTTAACTGGTAGCTATAACTGTCATCCTGAAATTTACAACATCTTGTCTAGCCCAAAGTTTGTCAAAACCCATAATTTTCATTTTGCTTGTCAAAGGATTGAGATGGTGATCACCTTTGGGTCAGGGCATTACCTATTATCTAATTATCAATATGCAATTTTATTTTGATTATTTAGTTAGCTGGACAAATATATATATTAAAAACATCCTTGACAAATATATATATTAATTGCTTTGTTTTCTTTCCATCAAACATTTCAACCCTGCAATGTATTGATTTTTAAAAGTTGCACAATAAAGATAGTTGAATTTAAAAATAATTTCTCTGTCATTTACTGGTGGTTCCATTTTGTTTCAGGTTATGCTTAGGTTTGGCCAATTCATACAGAATGCTTTGACTTGACAACTCTTCCAGATGATGGGGGTACTTATACACCGTTTTTGCTGAGGCCTGTCATCAAACAAGTAAAACACAGGGCAATATTTTAAGATGAAACTTGCAAAGCGATATATATGTGTTGCTATACTGGTGACAAGTATTTTCTGGATATCAATAGACCTTTTTGCAATGCTGTGGAATAGCAGACTAGATGTCAAAGTGCTTAACCCTGAGCAATCCTTACTACTCAGCATGAGCCAAGAAAGTTTGGATTCATTACGACCAAGAGAAAAAGACAAAAGTCTAGTAACAATAGATTATTTTAAAAAATTCTATAGATCATCATTACACCCACCTCCATCGAGTCTAGGAATGAATGGTGCAGCTGTTAAAAATAGCAAAGATGAAAAAGACTTAGAAGATAAATCAATCAAAGATTATGGTTTTAATGAACTGAGTAGCTCAAAAATATCTCTAGAGAGAACTATTCCTGATAACAGAGACAAAGCGTGAGTGACACTCTTCTAATTCCTCCTTTATTTATGATACTATCAATATATTTTGTTAGCTGTTACAGCCATTATTCAACTTAAACTATTTTCTTTATTTCTTTTATTTTATTTTGTTTGGTCTGCAATCAGGGCCACCAAGGGGTTTTGGGGGCCCCAGGACAAAACCTAAAGAAGAGGCCCACTGCAAGCAGAGCAAGCAGAAAACTTTTGAGAACTTGCTCTCCAGAAGACCTTAAAAAAAATTTCAGGATATTTTTTGCAGTCATTTCTTCCAATCGTTTAGAACCTTTTACTATTTTTTAGGCTTCCTTCTGCTACATTTGTTAAATTACATACTTGAAATAGAATTCATTACCTTTTGAGTCCCCCTAAACCTTGAGGCCCTAAGGAACCTTGCCCGCCTTGCCTCTCCTTTTAGCAGCCCTGTCTACATTCCAAACCTCAAATTCTTCCACTAGCTTGAAGCCCTTGTATAAGATCATAAGGCAAATTAAATTATTCATGTAAACTTATATTTATATGAAAGAGGTGCCAACTTTTCTTGATGAATAATGATAATTTTCTATTGAGTATAGAAAATCATTGTTGTAGTTCATAGTTAATAGCATATAATTATAGTTTATTTCTTGCTATCTTGTATTTTCACAATTTTCTCTTCCCCTACAGTTGCTTGTCAAAATTTTACCAAAAAGATTTACCCACTGCGAGTGTCATTGTTATTTTTCACAATGAAGCTTGGTCAACATTGCTAAGGACCGTTCACACGGTGATTGCCAGATCACCAGACTACATGTTGAAAGAAATCATTTTGGTTGATGATTGTAGTAACTATGATAAGTATGGTAAGATATTTTCATGTTTACCCAGGCCTTTTGGTTAAGAAATTTTCACAAGTGTGACAAACTGTCAAGATAGATAAAATTACAAGGGCTATGGTATAGCAACAATATTTTTTGAGGAAGTCATCAAGGGCCTAAGAGGAAACAAGGATACCATTTGCCTACCACTGCCTAACCTTTGGTTTTCTAAATGCATAAGTCCCACCAACAGTTTGATGTAATGTAAATATTGAAGCAATAATGCTTTTTTCATTAGCAACTTGACCTTTCTTATAGTTTCTGTAAATTCTCTTCATGTCTTTGTTGCAAATGAGTCAAGAAGTCAACCATGCTTCTTATTTGTAACTCCGTACTTTTAAGTTTGCTTTTTTATAAGCAGCTAATTCAATAGAAAACCATCATTAGTTGGACTTGATTTTATGACACAAAACATATTATTCAAAATTTTCTCAATTGCAACCGATGATAATTTTCAAATAATATAATCAAGAGCATAGCCTATAAATAAAGGCTTTTTCCTTACATCCTAGTTAACATTTTTGATCTTTTATTCTCCTAAGGAAATTATTGGGAGGTTAGCCTTTTTGAAATTTTTTTATCTGTCATAAAATTATGGTGCGTTGCGCAAAAAGTTTTAATTGTTTTTTTTAAATGACCCAGGCTATATAAGGAACAATTTTAATTATTTTTTATCTTTACATTTGAATGAAATATTTTCTTTTTAGGTCATCTAGGTAGTAAGTTGGAAAATTATATAAAAAGTATTCAAAAGGTCAAATTGATAAGATCACCTAGAAGGGTTGGATTGACGCAAGCAAGATTAATTGGAGCAGACAATGCGGTTGGGGATGTATTGGTCTTTTTAGACTCTCACTGCGAAGCAACTGATGGCTGGCTTGAACCATTATTAGGAAGAATAAAAGAAAACAAAAAGATAGCTGTTGTTCCTGATATTGAGGTTATAGCGTGGAGAGATTTTGAATATAGTAAAGATAAAGGATCTGACAATCGTGGTATATTCAGTTGGGAATTAATGTTTAACTGGGGCCCTTTACCAGATAGCGAGAAGATGAGAAGAAAAACTTCAATAGATCCAATAAGGTAAAAATGATTCCTTTTTTGTCATAAACATTAATTAGATTCACATAATGAAGGGCGTTTTCCATCATCTAACAATTTTAGAAAAAGAGAAAGAATTAACTGACTTCTTTTGACCAAACTAACTGAACCTTTACTTTTTCATCTACCTCTGTTTTAGAGCCATCAATATAGAAATAATAAGATTTTACATTTTTGTCTGTCCTGTTTTTAGCTTGGGACCAGGTTTATACTATTGTAGCCTTGATCGAGGTCATTGACATTAAACACACCCAAATCTCAAGTACTGAACGCCTTCAATATATAAATTATTTAAAGGGATATCTTTAAGTATCATTTTATCAATCTTGAATCCTTTACCCTTTAGAATATTGAAAATCACATCATCTTTCTATCTAGTAAATAGTGAAACGGTCATTAAACTATGTTGCATGTTTTGTGATCATGTTAGAAGATATTTTTAAGGAATAAGGTTATTGCTAAATTTACAGTTTGTGGTGTTTTTATTGCTATCAGCTGACGTTTGATGTTTTTGGGAAATTAGTTAAGTATTTCTTGTTTATAACTGTATCTACAATTTACAAAGACCGTAGCAAAACTTTCCCACAAAATAGATTTCTCGTCTTTCTCGATTTTTTACTGTTTGTAAACAATTTGCAACGCATCCCTTGTCATCAGAACTGTTGAATGCACCTCCTGCTAAAAAATTTCAATATGAGAATAATTTGTTTTATTACTGCACAGCGCTACCTAAAATACGGTTTGTTAATCGAGTGACGTTATCTTATATTGTGCTTTTATTCAAAGAACAAGAATTGGATCGAATCCAGGTCCCAGTCGATGCTGCAATTTTCCTACTTATAACTCATCTTTTGAAGCTCGTGTGATATTATTTTATCGTTGTCTGTTAAAATGGTGTAAAAAGGAAGAAAAGAGTAATGGAATTCTGTTTTGTTATGATCAATTAGCATTTTACAAAGCAGCTAGATCAATCGAATTTTTTTATGATTTAGGTCACCAACAATGGCTGGAGGGCTGTTTGCAATTGAGCGAAAGTATTTTTTCTACAGTGGTGCATATGACAGGCAGCTGACATACTGGGGCGGAGAAAATGTTGAGATGTCATTTAGGGTGAGTTGTAATGATACATGTAAGCTCTCTCTTGAGTGTAGAACATCAATGCATTTCTTAACTTGGATTCCTTGCCTTTTGAAAATGATCTTAACAGCAGGTCATCTCTCTATCAACGATCTCTATGTACTCTTGTATGTTGACAATGTTTCAACAACCTCGCAGGTACAATGTACGAGGAATCGCAAGGGCGTTTCGTGAAGGGTTATGAGAATAAACCCTGTTTAAAATTTCAGCATTTTTGTTTAACTTTTTCATTCGATGAGAATATCTTCCCAGTTTGAAAACTTTTATTCAAGTTGACTCACAATTTTATTGATAATATTGGTACAGTCATTAAGATATTTATGACACATGTTGAAACCAAAATATAAGAGTGGGATAGTTTTATCGAGCATAACCACTGATTTGAGCATAACTTTGTAGAAACTCGACTTCATACAGAGGCCCAGTGTCATGGAATTACGTAAGTGAAGAGAGGGGGAGCTAAAGCATCGAAATGTTAGAAACACTGTTAGTATCAACGAAATAAGATTGATAAAATAGTTTTCCCCAAAAGAAAGGAAAATGTTTGAATCAAAATCCATATTCTAAATACTTCTAAACTCATTGAAATAGGGAAAATAAATACCTCTGATAATCAATTTATTGAGATACCTGCTTTTTTGAATAGTAGGGCCCGCGTATGTCTACATTAGCTGGTTCAGATATCAATGAAAATAGGCTTCATTTAAAGATCAATCTAGATATATGTATTCTTATTGCATGCTACCACCTTATTTATTATTCACTAATTCCTATCAGTGATGTCGATGTAAAAATTTCATGATCATGGAACGAGATATAAACATTCTTTACAGTTGGATAAGGTGCAGCAGCTGTTTTATAGGTTTTCAATTGGTCAATCACTTCTGAATTATTCATTTATAAAGCGAGGATATGCATTGGTATAAGGGCCTAAATGTAGTTATAAGCTTTCGTTGACATTGATGACAAGAAACTGTTGATAAGAGCAAGTATTATTTGTTACATTATTTGACAATTGGTTAAAATTGGACGTTGATCGCAAAGTAATGCAATAGTGAACCTCAGAGAACGGATAGTTTGAACATCTCAATATACAGTAGCTAACGCTCCCGGTTTACAGTTTAAAGATTCGTACGACAAAGTCACATTTTGCACGTTCTTAGATACAAATGGGAAATGACCTAGCCAACAGTGTATCAGAAAGGAAAACTGGCATTCATTACAGTGGTTCAAGTTCAGGAAAGCTAGACTAGAATTTGATGATTTTGATAGTAGAATTTTAAGACCTTTTACTATAGATTCATCAAACTAGTTAAAATTTAAAAGAAGTTTGAGAAGCGAAATGTGCCAGCAAATTACTTATGTCCGACACGCACTTACAACATGGAAGGACAGGAGACGCAATCCTATGATTACGTCACTGAAGATTGCAACTATGGATTCGGTTACCCAAGAGAAAAGAAATTATCAAGGTTTGAGTACGTCTATCTTACACCTCATGTCTCTGAATCTACAAGATTCGATGTAAAGCCAAACTCATATCTCCTATCGCAAAAGAGACAAGAAATTGATAGATTTAAAGAAAAGGCTACTGTCAAACAGCCAGGCGTGCACAAAGGTGTTACGCAGAAGGAACGTGTTCATTTGAGATCGATTCAAGAAAGAACAGAAGCTGGTGACGTAAATTTTGAAAGGATAAGGCCAACAGCATAGGGCTCAAATCTTGATTGGCTGAGAGCTTGCGCTAAATCACGTGACCTCTCTCGCCGCTGAGCCAATCACAGCCCCGGAAAGTGTAAACAAACTTAGGCCAAAGCCGAAAATTGGGCATTTTTACCACCGTCCATTAAAAAAATAACGTGTAAAATCTGCTACAATAAATTTCAAATTTTTTTAACTTCATCCCTACACAGATAAATTTCCCACAAATATACCGTGGAACATGACCTCGATTTTGCGTTGTTAAGAAAATACAGCGTTGTAAACCTAGCCATAGGATACCTTCACATCCAAGGGGTTTAAAATTAACACAATTTCAAGTCAATTATTGCTGTTACCCCATAAAGCCAAAATTTTGCATATTTCAGTTGCTTTAAATCTGAATATCACATTAGACTCAGCTTAGTTTTAAAAAACTCTGACGAACAACGCATGCAGTCTTTACTAGAGCTTTGATCAACGCAAAAATGAGAGAATTTTCCTTTTCAAGACAAAAACTCTCAATAGCTTTCAACTGATCATGTAAAAATGCTCCACCTAGCCGGAGAAGCTTTTAAACTGATACATCATGACTTAATTTGCGACTGTACCATGTCCTGAGCATCTCTGCTGAAGCACAGGTATCTAAGTATTGTGGGGCGTGAAACGATTAGTTCTAAACATGTGCTGGGCACCCAAACAGAATCGTAATATATGTACATAAAGGGAAAAAAGCTACTCAAAACCTAATTAGAAATACTTACTGTGTTTCTGTGAGTGTTGGAATCCTGCTTTGCCAATTTTTGAATCATGATTTACATAACGCGTTTGAAGGTAAATTTTTGGGTTATTCTTGTCCTTGTGACATAAGAATTCATATTTCGAACAATTCTTCACGCCCATCTCTTCCAGTCCGTTGCAATTTTAAATTTAGGAGATAGAAATGATGACGACTTTTGAAAGCAGGAACTACCCGCATGTTTCTCAAATTTCAAAAGTTAGCAAATGATGACGTGTTGTAACAAAGTGAATTTTCAAAAAATTAAATTCAACTTTTAAAAGTATTGCAAGGGTTTCGAGATTTCGTGACTTTTCAGTGAAAGGTCTACATATTGATTCTTCGAAAAGTAACTTATGATAGTTTTAGAATAAAGAGAGATGCAAATTGTTTGACATTTAGTTTTAGAATAAAGAGATGCAAATTGTTTGCCATTTTAATTGTTTTGCTTGAAGCGTTTAACTGTAAAACTGTCAGAATAAAAAGTCATTTTTTGAACAGGGCTGATTTCTAAAAGTTCTTGGAAGGGGGCTCTAGATGCGATTTTATAAGACCGGTTGTGGTTTCTTATGACCACGATCATCTTTTATCACACCCATCAAATGAATTAACCAATACTGAAGCAAATCAATGTTTGATATGACTGTTCTTCCCAAAACAATGCAGCTATACTTCAGTATACTTAACAGTATACTTCGAAGGTGAGACACTAATCAAAGAGGTACCAGTGATGAGAAAATTAACAATTTGTGCATCCTTTCTCGTGGTATTTGCAAATAAAACTTCATTGATCATGCTTTCGAAAATCCCCCTTATCCTGAAAAGATCTAAGATCTAGATGAGAAGACCTGAAAATTCCCCTTTAAGAGGCAGAGCCTCCAAAACCAAGAAAAAGACTTAGCAAAGGGGCTGATTTATCGCCCCCTACACCCCCTAGAAATCACCACTGACTATGAATAGTTTCACCTCATTGTATGTAATTCAGCTATTCGTGACAGTAAATTATGAGTTTAATGCTAATGTCATGGCAGTTTGCTTTATAATATGAAGCATAAAGAGTTATCGTTTTTTTAGAAATCGGCCCTGTTCAAAAATTGACTTTTTATTCTAACAGTTTTATAGTTTAACGCTTCAAGCAAAACAATTAAAATGGCAAACAATTTGCATCTCTCTTTATTCTAAAACTATCATAAGTTACTTTTCGAAGAATCAATATGTAGACCTTTCACTGAAAAGTCACGAAATCTCGAAACCCTTGCAATACTTTTAAAAGTTGAATTTAATTTTTTGAAAATTCACTTTGTTACAACACGTCATCATTTGCTAACTTTTGAAATTTGAGAAACATGCGGGTAGTTCCTGCTTTCAAAAGTCGTCATCATTTCTATCTCCTAAATTTAAAATTGCAACGGACTGGAAGAGATGGGCGTGAAGAATTGTTCGAAATATGAATTCTTATGTCACAAGGACAAGAATAACCCAAAAATTTACCTTCAAACGCGTTATGTAAATCATGATTCAAAAATTGGCAAAGCAGGATTCCAACACTCACAGAAACACAGTAAGTATTTCTAATTAGGTTTTGAGTAGCTTTTTTCCCTTTATGTTCTGTTTGGGTGCCCAGCACATGTTTAGAACTAATCGTTTCACGCCCCACAATACTTAGATACCTGTGTTTCAGCAGAGATGCTCAGGACATGGTACAGTCGCAAAATAAGTCATTATATATATGTATCAGTTTAAAAGCTTCTCCGGCTAGGTGGAGCATTTTTACATGATCAGTTGAAAGCTATTGAGAGTTTTTGTCTTGAAAAGGGAAATTCTCTCATTTTTGCGTTGATCAAAGCTCTAGTAAAGACTGCATGCGTTGTTCGTCAGAGTTTTTTAAAACTAAGCTGAGTCTAATGTGATATTCAGATTTAAAGCAACTGAAATATGCAAAATTTTGGTTTTATGGGGTAACAGCAATAATTGACTTGAAATTGTGTTAATTTTAAACCCCTTGGATGTGAAGGTATCCTATGGCTAGGTTTACAACGCTGTATTTTCTTAACAACGCAAAATCGAGGTCATGTTCCACGGTAGATTTGTGGGAAATTTATCTGTGTAGGGATGAAGTTAAAAAAATTTGAAATTTATTGTAGCAGATTTTACACGTTATTTTTTTAATGGTCGTTGGTAAAAATGCCCAATTTTCGGCTTTGGCCTAAGTTTGTTTACACTTTCCGGGGCTGTGATTGGTTCAGCGGCGAGAGAGGTCACATGATTTAGCGCAAGCTCTCAGCCAATCAAGATTTGAGCCCTATGCTAAGGCCAACTGACTCTGGGTATCACTTCAAAACAAAGGAAGAAATTATTCAAAGGTTGCTTCAAAGAGACAGTTATGAATAAAGTATTTCTTGACTGGCTTTGTTGTTTGTTCAATGAAAACTGCTTCGCCAAGAAATCTGTTCTTCTTTGCTCAAGAGTCTTCGAAGGCCGAAAAGAAAAGAAATCAAACTCAACGCAATTTAGCAATCGAAACATTTTATGTACTAGTAGACTCATAGCTCCCCCAATTACCCTTAAAAGGCTTACTGCTCATGATTCTCTACCAGCTAACAATAAATTCGTCGGTTCCTTCTATTCTCTTCAGTCAGAGTAAACAAGATGTATTCCTGGCAAAAATCCAACACACTTAACATAATACAATAACCACCCATTGCATCTCGGGATAGGCTATCATCAGCGAAGGGCCGGATAGTTTTCTGAACGGTGCATAACAATCGAAAGTGGTGATGTACAACTGATGTTAGCTAGAATTATTCTTGTTCATCATTATTTTTTCTTTGATTGTCATTAGTCTTGACGTTTGTCCATCATTATCCTTCTTGAGTTCTTCTATGTTAGTTCGCTCGTCCATTGTACATCTTTATTTTCAATTTAAAAGCTTTTATGAATTTTTGAATTTAAACTCTACGTGATTAAAATGATATAAACCAACCGACCTACTTAACTCAACAGCTTTTTTAATGATCATTTGTACCTCGGACGTATGATGCTTTTGAGATGTGTTGAATCTAGGAGGAGATTTTTTGAGCTAGCATTTATGGTTTTGTAACATAGGACAAATCGAAGCTACCGTCCATACCAAATGCCTTCCAATGCTCATTTTATTATACCTAAACACACCAGAAGAAAATAGATTGAAATATTGGCAGTTTTTTTTCAGTGTTTCTTGAGATTTTTCGTAATAGAAGACAGCCTACTAAGACTAGTGGCGCTTGCACTTGGTAATCAGGAAGCACACCACAAAAACTGAGGATTTTTTAAGCAGTGCAGTCTGCATCTAACTGCTATAGTTGTCGTCAGATAATACCTAATATGTTTCCAGTAAATGGCACGTCGTTTTTCACGTGCTATTTCTATATTAAGATATAGGTTCAGCAGAAGTTCAAGTTGTTTTATTCCCAAAATTTTGGTCTGTATCTAATGTGTGTACCATCCTGTTGAGAAATCTTGTGTGAAGATAGCAGATCCCTCATTCTGCCCACCTTTCTGGTCGGTTCCTGAATCTAAAAAAAGCTGGTGTGTTCCGAATCACATTACTAATTTTGATAATCTGTTCTTCTAGCTCTGGATGTGCGGGGGAGGTATTGAGATAATCCCATGCTCACGTGTTGGTCACGTTTTTCGGGAGCAGGCACCCTACAAATCTCCTGATGGCTCAACAGATCACAACAGTATACGTGTAGCTGAGGTCTGGCTAGATGAATACAAGGATATATTCTACTCATTTAGGCCCAACTTGAAAGCGTCTATGGGTGGCGATGTGACTGACAGACTCAAATTGAGAAAGAGGCTGAAATGCCATGATTTTAAATGGTATTTAGAGAATATAATACCGGAGCTTGAAATTCCGGATCGGTACCCACTAGGACGCGGAGATGTAAGTCTTTTTTGTACGGTTGCACCTTCTTTATTGTTAATCCTATATTTGATTTTTCAGCGAAAAGTTGCTAAAAGCTGAATAGTTGCATTTTTTCGACCAGTCTTTCTCCTTTCTAAACATCATGTCACCCTTATCTGACTCGCCATCTTCAGTTATTTGGATTCCAAAACTAGCCATCCTTTCATGTACAAACAAGAATGACATGTCAATAAGCAGATATATTTTTTCTTTCAGATAAAAAACCTGGGAACGGGGACATGTTTGGATACCTTGGCTCAAAATAATCAAGGTGGGAAGCCAGGGCTGTATCCTTGTCACGGTCTTGGAACAAACCAAGTAAGTTTCATATTTTCGATGATGCCTTGGAGTTTATTTGCTGTCAAATAATTATCATGTTACATCACTTTTTAGTATGAAAGGCAATATAACTGACAATAAATAAATATGAGTCATTTTTTTCAATTTATTCTGAAAATGGAGAATCCAATTCAAGAATATTCCGTTTGTATTATTCACAATTTGAAAAGCGTACGAACAAACTTTGCCACCATATTTTTTAACGTTGCTGCTGCTTCATGACAGATTTTCACCATATTAGGCCGCTTTATGTCATTGAAGGGTCGAGCAAACTAAGTGACATACAAGGTGTATAGCCATAGTTGATGGTATAACTAAACACAATCCGTCTCCAAATCAAACATATACACAAAACCTTTACAGTTATGTACAATGCTTTTTATCTCGCTCATTATAATGCTGCTTTATCTAAACATTGCTTGGATGGCAGTGACAATCTGCCTAGTAACTGACGCATAAAATCAAGGAATTCACATTGTACATGGGAAAGGGGTAAGAATTTGGCGACAGCGTTGAAGACTTGGAGATGTATTTAAATCCTGGGATTGTCAACTATTTTGGCAAGGATTGTAGCTCTCAGCTTGCATACAGGGGGACCGTGCACCGGTCTAAATGTGGGAGGGCTGAAAAGGGCGTGACCGAAATTATTTTGAGGCCATGCCCTCTAGAACGCCGGAAAACGCCCCTTTTAGAAAATACTGGCTTCTTTCTACTGGGATTTTATAAACAATCTGGTTCAAGGAAGATATCTATAATATAGATAAAATTAGCTTGGGGATAACAAAACATCAAGAAAAACACCTAGAAAATGAACAAAAAGGGTTCCCAGTCAAGAAAAACTACTACTTGGTAGGAGTATACTGTTCAATGTTGCGTTAGAACATAGTTAGAGTAAGCTTTCCTAAAAGTTTTCTAACGTATTATCGCAAAAAAATGGGGGGGCTATAGCCCCAGCTTGCCCAATGGCTGCGCAGTGCCTGCTTGCATAGGTCATATTTCTGAGACGTTATACTCAGATTTCATTGAAATATAACTGGTAGTAGCTCTTCTGATGATAGCACTGTTATTCCTTTAGTTTTTTATGCTGACAAAGAAGAATGAGATATGGCACGACAGTCTCTGTCTTGATTTCTCTGGCAACGGAAAAGCACAGCTATGGCCGTGTCATAAGATGGGTGGTAATCAGAAATGGCTACATCAAAAGGTAAGCTATTTGTTGCTGAAGTATGATATTAACGTCGTGGCATCAAGGATAATGGTGAAAAACTACCATGAAAGTTGCTAATTTGTCTAGAGCCCCCTCATCCTAAAATATGTTCCGGCGTCCCTGCATTTGAATATCCAAGTCCTCACAAGGTAAAGAATAGTGTATGATCTGGTATGACGTAAGCCCTCTCTCTTCAGCTGTTTAAAATTCAACTTTGGACGCGGGACTTATAATGTCTGTCTCTTTTGGCCAGGCTACATACATACAACATACATCAAAAGTCAGATTGAGTAAAAGAAACTGTAGATGAAATTCCAAATTAAATCGAGTCTAAAGTATTATTTATTTTTGATAACCCTTTTTTTATAATGCTCATAATTCTCAATGCTTTTTACTTTAATTGGTAGTCTGTTACATATTACGCCTGCTCTGCGTTTGAATGAGCTTCGTCCAAATGCTGTTTTAGGTCTGTTCAAGACAACTTTTACATTATCCCTGAGATTCATTGATCCTGATTTTGAGTGTTCTATCAAGTCCATCATGGTCTCTTGGCCTTTCTCGTAATGCAATTTGTGTGATATGCATGCAACTCTTCGCTTGTACATGTATTCAACAGATTTCCAGTTCACTGTTTCCAGTATTTTAAGATCATGCAATGATTTTGGTAGTTTATCGACTATTTTGGCTGCCCTTTTGTGGATTCCACCCAGCAAGTCCCTGATCCCCGGACTGCAATGCCATATGTAGCAGCAGGCAGTATGCTTTGAAAGTAGATCTTCTCTAGAACTTGAGGTGACAGTGCTTGAAACTTCTTCAGCTGTTTTATCTTCTTGTTCATATTAGCTGTTTTGATTAAGCTACAACTTCATTTTGATTCAGGCTCAATGTATTATGACAAATAACAGAGCACAGCTGGGGGTTGTGATAATCTGCTTTGTGATATGCAAAAGCTAGCACGTAAGGGGAAAATAGGTCATCTTTAGTGCCATATCCGCGCTTGTTTTTGACTCAACTTCTTGCTGCATTTTCGTTGATAGATTGATTTTGACTTGATAATTCAAAAACAAAGCCTCACGGGGTCCTTGCAGGGTCCTTGTGTTGCCTTTGGAGACTAATTTATCCATTTTCCATCAAAGCTGAATGATTTATGGGTCAACTGTCCTTGTTGCCCTTTTATAGGAGGAGCAAGGGGGCTGAAGTGCCCTATTCATAGAAGTACTTTTGATGCCGGCCTTTTGCCCCTTTGCCCCCTGGTCGTTCCGTCGTCCTTGTTTACAGTAGATATATACTAGCTATATTAAGATTCTTGTTTTATAATTATCCAAATTTGAATCTCAAGGCAGTTGAAATGTATAAGCAATAATGAAACTGTGACTCCACTCCCCCCCCCCCCCCATAAAAGAAAAAGCCACCAGTAAAAATTTTTGATGCAAAAAAGGCCCTGTGGATTTTAGAGGATATTTGATATTTACGGTATTCGATGTTTTCCTCTCTTTGGCAACACTCGAAAAAAGCCACTTTTCGAAAGTATGATTCAACAAAAGGATTCACAGAGATCAGAGTGGATTGAATTTGATTCATTTTTAAATTCTGTTACCAACACTAGATTCTCGTAATCGTGTTACTTTGTTTCTGACTATTACCGATTATTATGATTTGCTTCGTGTTGCGCATTTCCATGAACAGCGCAATGAGGTCATTGGAACAGCGTGACGCTGCATGGGCGCTTTTTTCTTTCGGTTCCCTGTACTTTGTAGTCCTTGGCAACATTGAAATATATCAGTTCAGTCCTCAAGATGGCTGCTCACGGTGAAGTCCATGGCCAAGCAACTGCTGGCGAAATGGAGGAAGAAGTTCAAAAATCTCACGAGAAAATAACCGTCAGGGTTGCTAATGTGAAAAATCTTCAAGGTCTGAAAGGCAGCACCCTTACATCTTTTGTCCGAGTCGAGTTCGGTTCACAAGTCATCGGCGAGTCCCCGAAGTGTGAGAACGACAGCTCGAACGGGATCACAGTTTTCGATTACGAATGCACGCTTAACGCCAACGTTAATGACCCAATGTTTCTTGACGAGTTAGTACAAACACCTTTTGTTATTTCAGTCGTTGAAGTTTTACCGAAAGAAAAAAAAGCACGCGAAGAAAAGACAAATGTTGTGGGACAAACTTGTCTTGATCCTTTACCGCTTTTGCAAGGTGAAGCAGTCATTTCTCGTGTTCTTCAATTGTTTTCAGGCGCAGCCACACAAGATTCTACAGTATCACAGGAGCTTAATTTGCCAGAAATGGAAGTCTCTTTAGCAGTCGAGGAGCCTCTCTTTTCTCATGAACAACTGAAAGCATGCAATTTGTTGAGAATGGGAATTGACAATTTATATTCGTTGCCAGAATCGTGGAGTCAAAGCACAGGGACTCAGTTTATGTATTTCGTTGCACTGCCAATGCCAGTGTCGGCAAACAAGGAAGTTACTGTTTTCATTCCGAATGGAACTTTTCATGCACCAGGGGAACTGGAAAATAGTAACTTCAGGAAATGGTGTTCTGCACCAACAGCCTCTGGTTCCTGCTTGTATATGTCTGACAGACCAGTTACTTCAAATCCTTATGAAAATGATGATGGAGATTTGCAAGGAAAGGATGATATAGTGTTCCGAAAAGAGGCAGAAAGCGAGAAGGCATGTGTTACTTGGAATATTGAAAGGCGTTGCTTTTTCACAAAGACAGCATGTGAAAGCTTGATGAAGAAAATTGCCCAGAACAGAATCTGGCCTTTAGAAGTTTTTAGAACAACTTTATCTCAAGGATCAAAGACCAACAAGAAAGGAGAGGAGGAAAATATTCTTTCATTTCATGGGGTAGTCTATGTTGATATGGCACCTTTACTTTATCCTGGTATGAAAAGAATTCGCGGTGCCTTTCTTGTCAAGCCATATTCTGAAACAGATATTAATGCAAAGACTGGAAGGAAAAGTATAGTGACAGAAGAGGCAGCAAAACTAATTTTGCTGGCTAGAACCAGTAGCTCAGGGCTTCCACCTAAAGCACCAGCAACTAAAGCCAAAAAGCAAGAAGAGAAGCCAAAACCATCAGCTGCTGTATTGAAGCCACCTGATCAGACTTTGGACTCTGAACATGCTGAGATGAAGAAAAGTGAGGGGCAGCAATTTGTTGATGCACACTCATACATGGTTCTTGATTTTGAGTTGGATTCATCTCTTGTACCAAGAAGAGAACCTGATGCATTGGCTAAAAAGGTTTTAGAATTGGTTCCTCCTAGGCCTTTATTTTCTAAAAAGGAAGGTGGGGCAAAGAAAGCAATTGAAAATTTTCAAAATCACATTGGTGTTACAGCTAACATGCTTCTGGACGACTATCAGAAAATGTTCTCAGAAGATTTTGATACTGAACAAGAAAATGGAGCAGACAAAAGGCGGAGAGCATTTCTGTATCACCTAAATTCATCTGGAAAATACTTTGCGATGAAAGAGCAACTGAAATACTATGTTGTGAAAATTGTAAGAGAAAAATTTATGAACACTTCACAGTTCAAAACAAAAACAGAACTGCAGGAATTCATCTCTCAGTTATATGAATTCCTTCTTAGTCATATGCACCAAGGGCTGAGTGACTTTTTGTCAACAGAGGAATCAGTTGAGATTCCACCTCCAATCAGAGATTCTGAAATGATGAAGTTCTTTGCAAGGGAGGCTGAAATACTGTTTGATTATCCCCATGCTGCTAAGTACTACCAGGAACGAATCTCACTCAACAAGAACGACCCTGAATGCTGGCTTGATTATGGCTGCTTCTGCCTCTTCATTGATGACACAAAAAAGGCACAAGAGTGTTTTAAGGAAGTTGTTTCCATTGATCAAAAACATTTCATTGGCTTGGTTTTGAATGGATGCATGGCTCTATTTACAGATGATTTCACTGCAGCAGAAGTCTTCTTTGAATCAGCCGCATATTCTCATCCTGATAACGAAATTGGATGGACTTTGTTGGGACTGTTCTATTCTGGTGTGCATAATGACATTATGGCCGAGAGAGCATTTAATGAAGCTTGCAGGCTAAATGATCCAAATTTGTCTGCAAAGAAGTCATATATCGACATAAACAATGGAGAAAATGAAAAGCTAACAACTTCAAAAGAAGGTTTGGCAGCTGCTGAGCACCCAGGTCATTCAGAGTGCAATTATGAGCCTTCAGTTACTCAAGAAACACCAAGGCAGTCAGAAGTGGCACCAAAATTTGTCAACACCATGAGCCCCTTTTTGCAAGCTGCTCGATTCTTGATTGACCACAGAGTTCTCAATCTTGCAGAAAGAGCATTATCTCATGAATTAGTAGCACCAGGTCATGGGGAGTCTGCATCATATTTCCAGCTTCTCGCAGAGACACAGGTTATGAAAAAATCTCATAGTGAAGCCAAGTCAAGCATTGATGAATGCTTGAAATTGCACCATCAAAATCCAGATGCATGGGCCTTGTTAGGCCATTTACACTTCTTGACTGGAGACCAAAATGAAGCAAAAATAGCATATGAGCGGACCCTTTCTTACTGCAGTGATGCAAAAGATAAACATTCTTTGTTGCTGCGTTTGGCATCCATTTATCTTAATGAGAAAGAATATTCCAAAGCAAAACAGACTTACCTAGAGGCCTGCAGCAAAAAAGCTACATGCATGACCTGGTTAGGTGCTGGTATTGCATCATACAGGCTAGGAGAATTGAAGGAAGCAGAGCATGCATTGAATGAAGCAAATATTCTTGACAACCACAATACAGTGGTATGGGCTTATCTAACTCTGGTTTGCCTGAAACAGAAGCGACATCTAGAGGCAGAGCAGTGTTACCAGTATGCAGTGAAAACAGGACCTTCAGAGTCAACTTTAATGGAAGAAATTAAGAATACAATGAAGGAGACTGGGTTTGATATTTCATTGATCATGTGACTGTATTGTTGTTGGTATGATTTCTTTGCCATATTTGCCTTTATTGCAAGCTATCAAAATTGGTTGTTTATTGCTATGTTTTGCTCAATGCTGCATATATATTAGTAAAGAGGGATTGAAATTTACGTGTTATTTAGCTACTCCTTTGAAGAGATGTGTGTTATTATTGCTAGTCTTGGCTTCTTTCACTCTCAAGCTGTAAAAGAGTACTAGTCATAAGTTTGTTTTTATTTCTTTGTATCTTGCCCAACTAAACCAAAATAGTTTCAATGACAGTTAATCTACTGACCACTGAAGGCAGATTCAGTTGTTAAATACCCATGTTTGGAGATTGCCTATATTCACTGAATGTGTTTCTTATTGCATTCTTAATTAACTTGATAAATGTTTCCACATTGAACTCTGGTTTTACCATCTGATATCAACTTATATGTTGATTTATTTTAAAATGCTTAATGATGTTTATAGAAAAGGGAGGTGCATTGAATTATGATTAATTGTTAAGCCAAGGTTACAATTATTCACATTTATGGTATTTGGTTCTATTGATTTTATTCAACCAAAGTATTTTTGTGCTTTATTCTCAAAATCTTTCTACAACAGGTATTGATAAATTGATAATTACATATACTAAATTTTGCTAGTTATAAGTTATTGTATGAAAATTCCATCAACAGTTTCCAGGTGCAAAAATGCAAAATTTTACCAAGCATTTATTACGTGTTCCATTGCCCACAAATTCCTATAGATATATTTCATTAACCTTTACTGCTTTCAATGCATTTTGTTGAATTGTTTTTAAACTAGGTCAATGAAGTACACTACGGACTGTACATTTTTATTTCAAAATACATCAGACTTTTGATTAAAAAATTCAGTAAGACCATTTCTTTGCTATGTTCAATAGGTAGTTCTTTTTTTTCAAATTAGGATAGTGTTCTGAAAGTGCCATGTTTGCTGGACTTTGAGCATGCTAAAAAGTGGGTTTTGCAGTACACAGTACCGTAGATTCACTATTGGAAATAAAAATGACTCCTGTCCACTGTTCTGTTTCTGTATTTCAAGAAATAATACTGGAAAATTGAATTTTTGCACCCAAAGAATCAAAATGGATTATTTTTTAGGTTTGATGATCCCTAAAATTACATAATTATAAAATGATCCCATCAAAATATTTTCCATTTCCACTGCTCCAAAAAGTAACTGAACTCAAAATTTTAAACCTAGAATGTCAACTCAAAATGTCAAAAACTCAAAAATTTTCTCCAGCTAAAGTTTGACAGGAAGACTTGAAAGATATTTTACCCAAACATAATGTTTTACTTTCTAGTCGAGTAAATGCTTTTCTCTGAACCCTTTATGGAGTTCAATCCAGGTAAAGCAAGAGGGGAGCAAGGGCCTGGGTCCCCCAATTTTTTAGAGGGTCCCCAAACGAAATCGTTCGCAGATCGTATTGAGTTTGCAAATGTGCACATGTTGTATCTTATTACTATCTCCCATGACTGTGTTGGTTTATACATGTTTGTGCATAACCCTTGTATTCTCGATAAAGTCATTTCTATATGTTGGTACTAAAAAATTAGCCGTACTAAATTACTTATGATACTAAATTAATTATGCTGAAGGACAATCCTGCTAATCTATTGTATAATTAATATTATTTTGTTTTCATTTTCAGGGCGGAGTTATAAAACACGAGGTACAGGATGCTTGCCTAGAAGGTCGGGACTCAGAAGTTGATGTTGTGCCATGCGATGGTAATAACCCGAATCAAAAATGGGATTTCAACAGTTATCCTTTCGACGAAAAACGAAAAGATGAAAGATTGTAGGTCACACAAGGAAATTTTTATTTGAAATGTTATGACACATTGCCCTCACCTTTAAAATAAGTGTTTTTTCTCCAACACACCCTTATTGCACCCTTTGAAAACCCTCATTGCAAAGAATGTAACATAAAACAAGTTTAAGGTAGCTTTAATGATATTTTCAAATTTTTTGGCTATTCTCTTTTTTGTATCGGGTGAAAGTAAAATGTGGTTTATCGAAAGTATAACATTTTATTTGATCTGTTTATTGTCTTAAAACACCGTCCTTGAAAGAATATATGTCCTGGATTTTGCAAATATAGTATATTTGTCAAATAAATCATGGATACGCGTGAGGATTATTAATTTTATCATTTGCACCCACTGGGTACTACACACAAATATATATTTATATATATATATACGCATTGTATTTGCTCTTTGAAGAAATATGAAACATGAAGGAAAAGTCAGTATCTTTTTAGTTGTTTGCTCTCTCTGGTCTTGGCCATGTGCTGAACTTTTTTAGATTACATTATGATTTTACGTAAGCTATACGATTAATCCCGACAAATCAATAGATTATTTTATAATAATGTTCCATCGATAAATGTAAGAATAAAAGCAAAAAAAAATCGCTTGTCCAGTCTGTAGTGTTCTCGGCGGACATGAACTAAAAGAGTGAGATTTCATGTAACACTGTAAGATTATTTTGATTATGCTATAGCCTAATACTAAGTCTTAATCGAGAGAGACTCAATAGCGTAGCAATGTATCTAGGTGCCTTTAAAAAAAGCCAAGTTTTGGGAACCCCCTAAGGCCCTACACAATTATTACTATTAAGTTCATTTGTTAATAAAACCACCGAAAAGAACAATAACTTAAAGGGGTAAAAAGTGAATTTCCAAGTATCACCTTACCGTAAATATTTTAAGGAATAAAGACATCTGAACAAACATGTGCCTCATTAAAGCGATTACTAATCGATATCGTAACATACAGAGTTTTAAAGAAACATTACAAACATCTCAAACAAACTATTACCAACATGTACCTGATTAAAGTGTTTGTCAATTAATACCTTTCTGTAAAGAGAATTAATACTTAGTTAAAATGTTTCCCCGTTGATGGCGTGCTGTACAATGTTTCAAAGAACGAAGAGAGAAACAGTCAAACGCTAAGAAACTTTTAAAAACTTTTACATAGTTAAAATGTTTCCATATCAATGCCGTATTGTACAATGTTTCAAAGAACGAAGAGACAAACAGTCAAACGCTAAGAAACTATTAATAAAAGGCAAAGAGACAAACAGTCAAACACGTAAGTGTCGACTAGAGTATAAGCAATGAACATGAATAACGGAATATGAAATGGAATGACCCAATGCGAATATAAATAACGGCTAAACGAGATTTTGAAATTAGGTTTTTAGTTCCAGCTTTATCAGAGAAAATAATCGACGAATGTATTTTAATCGGAAATGAATCCCAAGTGGTCTATTGAACGTTTTATTTACAGTGGAGTCCATCCGATAATTATTGGTAAGAATTTATATGTGATCTTATACTTATGGGTACCTGATTAACCATATACCTTTTTTATATTTGGCGATCTAATAAACATAAAACAATATCAAAAAATGGTATAAAAGAACAGATATTTTAAAACTCATTATTTTAGGCTGTTAGGTTGAAACTGGTTGTTCCTCAAGTTTGCTCAGGTTGCCCAGTACGTGTTTCTTACAACAAATTTTTTTCATAAAAGTGAGTGTCATCGGATCGGTGTACATAGTTTTGTCACAGGAAATAATTTTAAGAGAAAATGGTTCTTATTCTTAGATAGGGGGGAAGCCAAATAAAATTCGTGTGTCACACTCTTTTAAGGTTGTGGTCATAACATAAAGCTCAAACAAATACTATGAAAGCTCAACTTCTACAGAAATGTTAATACGTTACAATTGTTTCAAAGTGTCAAGGGGAGAAAAAATATTTGTTATTCTTATTTTCGCCAAAAGTCCTTCATGTGCCGACGGACAAAATGTGAGGGGGGGGTACAGGGCCCCCTTTGGCGACGCCAAAGTTCTAAGATTTAAAAAATGTCGTTAATATTCAGGCTGGAATTTTGGCTTATTATGACAGAATGAAAAGAATGTGAATAAGTCAAAAAATAGAAATGTATTTGTTTTTTAATTTCTCAAGGCAGGCAACAATCCACTAGCCTGCGTCACAGACCAAGGAGGTGACACAGGCTACAATCCACGGGCACCTTCAAAACAGTCCAGTTAGTAACCTCGAAGAAGGATTACGTGTTTTCGAGGTTACGGGGAAGTCGCGACAACATGGCCACGTTGCAGCGGCCTAACCCTGTATTTGCAATTGTTTCCTTTTGAAGTCATCAGTATATCGTCGTATTTTTAAGAAGAGATGAATCGATGTTTTTGTTTCCTTGTTTTTGGCGTCAACCTTTCACTGTCAACAGGATTTAGATAAGCGCATATGTACAAGTTATGTGAAGGAATTCTCGCTCTCTTACTGCACAATGTTATTGATGTAGTTATTTGCCCACGGGTATTTGCTCTCAGCATTCGGCTCACAGCTGGTTTGAAAACGAGAGCAGAGCAAATCTTGTATCGAGTAGACGCATGTTGTGCATGATACTGTGTTTTGAGAGAATGGTCGGTGTTTTTCCTATAATTTACACATTCCCACAATATCTTGCAAAATAATTAGAGTGATTGTCCACAGTACTCACATGTTTGCAAAATCACCATGAGGCTTAAATGCAGGTTGATAATTACTGTTGTTTTGGTGACAATGTTGGTATGGGCAGTACTGAGGTACCTATTTAAAACATTGAAGGGAAGTGCTGTGTACGAAAGTGGCATAGAAGAGGTTTCTCTTCATCATGGTTTGGGAACTGCAAGACTGGTAAACATTAACTACTTCAAACGCTTTTATAGACCAGGTCTGAATCCTGATCCAGAGAGTCCTGGGATGGATGGAAAAGGAGTGTCAAATCTTCCAGGGGATAAGGAGCAAGAAGAAGCTTCTCTGAAAGACTTTGGTTTCAATGTAGTGAGCAGCTCAAAGATTTCCCTTGAAAGAACTGTCCCTGATAATAGGGATGAAAGGCATGTACTTATGCATTGTTATACAGGAATAATGCATCACCAGGCCTATAAGGCGGTTCAGGTAGTACTTTTGAAAAAAAATTGTTGTCAGTTTCAAACAAGAACTGCCATGCTCTGCCGGCTCTACACATCAAGGAACCAGGAGCAAATATCAGAGTGGGGGAGGGGGGCTCTAAACAAATTGGTAAACTATTATGATGGTTTGCTATCATTATATTTGATGCCACAACCAAAATATCGAGTATCAGTGAAAAAGTAGGGGGGCTACAGGCCACCCTTGGCCCCCGACATGCCTCTATATTCCCCATGTCTAAAAATCATAACAACAGGTTGTAGACTACATTGCCAATTACTTTATTGTAAATATGGGAATAAGAACTTCAAGCAAACTTAAAATAACAGGCAACAAGCGAGTATTGAGGCATATTTACTGATTCACTTACTTACAATGGAGCTGTGAAGAGAGGGGGGGGGGGGGGGTGCTCAAAATTCAGAGATCCAGAAGGATGTTAGGAGGCTGAGCCCCCCTCAATCTGTTTGTGTCATTGAATAGTTTGAATGTTATCTACATACAACAGGGAATCTTTAACACAAATGCAAGTATATTGGGTGTGGCATTTGAATATCCCCATCACACCCCCTTCCTAACTTTTTAGGAGAGCTCTCCTGCTTGCTCGATGGGGTTGTAATCTATTTAAAGCTAGGTACTCAAGTTTGTAATTCTTTATAAAGTTAACTTTTTTTTCTTGTTTTAGCTGCTTGACAAAATTATATCCACTTAAACTGCCTTTAGCAAGTGTGATTATAATATTTTTCAATGAGGCCTGGTCCACTCTCATGAGAACTGTTCACACTGTGCTAGCTAGATCACCTCCAGACATGATACAAGAAATAATTCTTGTGGATGACAACAGTGATCTTGTCAAGTTTGGTATGTGCCAAACTTTTTTTTTACTTTCAACTGTTTTTTCCAATTGTTGTGTATTTTCCCTGAAAATGACACAATGACCCAATGAGTTATTCACAATTTGATTATGTATTGTGTTCAAATAAATGTTAATTCCCTACTGAGGATTTTTTTCATTGTAGTTTTCAGTTACAATGTTGAATACATGGTTAGAAGTAAAAGTTAAATTTGGAATGCACCAAGGGCTATTTCTTACTCCTCTGCTATTTGTTAGACCAATCATTAGTCCAATTTATTCTATGCTGAACAATCATTGGCAAATTTGGATTTGTTCGAAGAAAGGTTCTGTTAGGCAGAATGGAGGTTCAGCTGTTTGCCTGCTACTGTATTTATTGCTCCTGAAATGCAATCATTTGGAAGGTTCAAACTTCATCTCCTGAAAGTGTTAATTTTTCCCCTAGCTGAGGGTTTGCATACAGCTAGTGTCTGCTGTTTTATATGTGAGGTCAAGAGGAATTTTATTGGATGGATTCCTTTTGAAAAATTGCCGGCTTGATTGTAATGTATCTTCACCAATCTATTTAAAGCACCAGACCATGCAATACATAAAGTCTTCAGCTCCTAGAAGTAATGATAGAGCTAGGTTTTGATATGGGATATCAATTGGCAATTGTTTACTTAATCAATGAGTTGATAATTTCGCAGTTGTATTGAATCGATCGACACACAATCTGCTCTTTGACTGGAAGGGCCAAAACTTGTCATAAGTGGCAGTTGTTTAGTACTTTAGTTATTAGTCTGTGTTAAGTCCAAGTCACTAGTTGGACATCATATCGTTGAAAACCGGATATTCATCTAGGTAACCCTCATTTATGATTGGTCAGATAAGCTGGAGCTCAGTTGTTGTTTCATTAAAATGTTATCTTTTTATTTATGAGCATGTTTATATGACTTGAAAATTTTCTTTTTGATTGTTCATCATAAAAATTCCATTTTTGATTTGCCTCATTAGCTTGTATATTCAATTTTGTTTATTTTGTGTGTGTCAGAGAACATGTAACAGCAGAAAAACCGTCTTTTGACTACTACAGTGAAATCCTGATATAACGAACCCCAGATATAACGAAATTCCCGGTATAACGAACTAAATGTCTGGTTCCTTGGATTCTGCCTAACAAACTCCTTATAAATTCTCTCGGTTTTAACGAACCCCGGATATAACGAACTTCCCGGTATAACGAACAAAATGTCTGGTCCTTTGGATTCTGCCTAACAAACTCCTTAGAAATTCTCTCGGTATAAAGAACCCCTGATATAACGAACTCTTGTTATTACGAACCAATTTTTAGGTCCCTTCATCATAATTACCCTCGATATAACGAACTTTTCATAAATTTTTATCCGTTATTTTTATTTATTTATTTTCGGTGTTCGTTTTTTATCACTTAATCTGGTGCGGAATCGTTTTTATAATCGGCAAAACATGCCGATGATACATATTTCAAGCACTGGCTGATAGACTCAGAGCACGAGATGAACATTTGATTGCGTCAGAAATTACTGCAAATGAGTATACATTGACAATAACGAATACCTCTTTACATATGAGAATGAGCGACCACAAACTTCTATTGATAGACCCAGATGGAGAAGCAAAAGAAGACAAATAAGAATGTGAAATAATCGAAGACGTCATTCAGCCGCCAACTAGCGGTGAAGTGATACCGGCTTTGCCAATCTCTTGGTCCCAAATAATTAGAGGAACATGAAGATTTTCATTTTGAATGACTAACCATTAATAACATTTGAATTCAACCTGGATTTTTTTTATTTTTGGAGTTAAATGTGCACAGAAGTTAGAGATAGCCTAAACAAGCCTAAAGGTTCTCTCCCGGTTTAGTGAACTCCCGGTATAACGAACTATTCTCTGGTTCCCTTCAAAGTTTGTTGTATCGGGATTCCACTGTATTTTCATTGCATATGGATGTTGGGGTATCATGTTTTCTGCCATTTAACCCGTTAAATTTTTACTTTGGTTTCAGGGTTTCTTGACTGCATGTTTTCTTTCCTAGATCATTTAAAAGAGAAACTAGAAGTATACATAAAGAGATTTGATAAAGTTTTTCTAATACGCTCACCGAAAAGAGTTGGATTAACGCAGGCAAGGATGATTGGCGCTGACAACGCCGTCGGAGATGTTTTAGTTTTTTTAGACTCTCATTGTGAGGCCACTTTTGGCTGGCTGGAGCCAATGCTGGCCAGAATTAAAGAAAGTCGTAATGTTGCTGTGGTACCAGACATTGAGACAATAGCTTTCAAGGACTTTGAATACAGTACAGTAAAAGGGGAACTAGCAAGGGGTACATTCAACTGGCAAATGATGTTTATATGGGGAGCAATACCTGAAAATGAAAAGAAAAGACGCAAGTCTCCTGCTGATCCCATCAGGTTAGCTTTGCCTCTGGCTTCGCCTCTGGCTTTGATTAATTGCTTGCACCATCGATGGGTAGTTAATTTTTTGTAACAATTAAGTTGCATTGCCACATCAATTTAGTTGAATTGTTCTATCTATGCTTTCTTATCATTCCAAAGCGTTTTATGACAACCAAAGGAAATCAATTCGTTCATTGTAAGCAGTTTAATACAAAGTCTATATTTATTTTTTTTGTTGAATTCCTTTTCAAATAGGCCAATAAAGCGTTTATGACAATCTTGAATTAATAGGATGGACACTCACACGAGAAGATCTATCTTAGCAGTAAAGGCAAACCACTTTTTTGAAGTATTTTGGCTGTACTATTCCATCGCAGTAAAAACGAACACAATATAGTTCAATTAGCTTGTAGTTGCTAATAAATACTTGATATCTTTTTCTAGAGGTACCTTTTTATTAAAACGGTTCTTGTTTTATACTAGAGCTTTTTTCTCTTCAAGATCACCAACAATGGCTGGAGGCTTGTTTGCAATCGATCGGAAATACTTCTTTGAAATCGGGGCATATGATCGACAGCTTACCTACTGGGGTGGTGAGAATGTGGAATTATCTTTTAAGGTATGAATCTTAAAAACTCATTGCTAACATTGAGCCATTGCGCTGCTGCCAAGGCATCCCATAATGCATTTTCAGACAGTCTTAGATCGATTTCGGTCGATCCGTAGTAATTTATCGCCATTGTTTGGATCGTCGCCTGACGATTTATCACGCGCGCAAAGGCACAATGAGTTCAATAAAGTGAATCCTGTTCCATGAATTTTGGATTGTTTTTTAATGAAACTCTGAAGTATTTAGATGATCTAACGTGAATTCCAATTATTCAATGGTGTTGTTTGCAGGATGTTGGATCGTTTTTTAGATACTGGATGCCCACAACTGATATCCAAGTTTTCCCCCTACTTTATCTTCGTTACCACTAACTTTGACATTGATGGTTGTACCCCCTTCGCTTTGGTATGCGCTGTCAATACATGTAGTATTTAAGACAACCAATAGGGCCCAGATTTTTTCAAAGAAGCAACCTTAATTTCTATCCTTTTGGTTTTATGCATTTCGATTCGAAATAACATGAATTCATGCTTTTCTCTTGTCAATTTAAAGTATTTTGTTTAGTTGTGGATGTGTGGAGGTGCAGTCGAGATTCTGCCTTGTTCACGTGTCGGTCACGTTTTTCGTACTCCTCCCTACAAATCACCCGCAGGCTCAACAAATCATAACATCGTTCGTGTTGCTGAAGTGTGGCTGGATGAATACAAGGATATGGTGTATGGATCATTGCCCGAATTAAGGCCAAAGATGGGTGGTGATGTGTCAGAAAGAAAGAAAGTGAGGGAACGACTGAAATGTCGGAGTTTTAAATGGTACCTTGAAAACATTGCAGTAGAAATGGCAGATACAGACCCAATGCCCTTAGGGCGCGGCCACGTAAGTCAAATTTTGTGGATAATACGCATAAAGACTTACGCTTTAGTTATTTCCGTTTTGGTATGGTTAAAGCAGAGGTTGAGGGTCTTGCTTTGCTTTTTCTCGTGTTTTCTCGTTAGCACAACATGTTACCACAAGCTCTTTTCTAGGTGCAGAAATCAATTAATATAGACCTTGATACATGTATATATATATTGCTGAGAAGAATTATAGAATTGGTCCGACCATTCTAACCCTTTAGGGCATAGTTTGTAAGTTTTGTTTAGCGGAAAATAACTGATAAACATTTTAAAGGTTAAACACCTTTTCGTATGAGTATAAACCTCCATTTCAGTTGTGAAACAATGGAATATATGTTAATTTGTTATTTATTGTTGATAACAGCTAAAGAATTTGGGTACAAAAACGTGTCTGGATACTTTGGGAATGAAGAATGAAGGGACGAAGCCAGGACTCTACACTTGTCACGGCATGGGCAATAATCAGGTAAAGTTCCTAAGTTGTTTGGCATACCTATACCTGTCTTTGTGCGATAGTTCCTCAGTGATATGACAGTATAAAACTGATGTAGCGTGAGAAGCAATTTTCATATCGGTTTTAAGGAGGGTGTTTTTATTTGATATCTAGCTTAAATATCGCATGAAATATTCATATTCCGTTTTAAGCAATGTTATTGCTTCATTTCAAATATGACAAGAAATGGTGTCTGCACTTTCCTTAATACGTTATATATACCTAATGCTCTGCAATTTTTTTTAAATCTACGTACTGCAAAAATCGATTTTTAACAACTGGAATTCAACTTCTGATTCTGTTGCATTGCAGTTTTTTATGTACTCAAAGAGGTACGAGATCTTTCACGATAAACTATGTGTGGATTTTGATGGCAAAGAAACGATTCAGTTCTGGCATTGTCACAAATTAGGGGGTAATCAAAAATGGACTCACAAAAAGGCAAGTCTTTGTTAACTCTAGCGGATACAGATTCATGCAGTGACATTGGAAATCGAATGATTCTGTTGTATTGAAAAATAATGGTCTGAAGTGTAATGGTCTGAACAAAAGAATTGTGGGGGCTGTCTCATTAATGTATCTCATAAGCAAACATTGCAAGAATGAATCAGTTATCATTTTTATTATCAAAGTAATGGGTCTAGACACAAGACTGCACCCTTTGCCATTGCGCGCCTGCTCTAAAGCGATTATTACAAACATCTTTCAGAGCATGAATGCAGGGGCCGCGGAAGCGGTGGGGGACTACGGGGGCTTTAGCCCACCCAATAATTTCCAAAATGTACTTAAAACCATACAAAAATCCCCCTGCTCTTGGTTTTTAGCATGTTTAACCCCTCCAAAATTTGATGGCATTGGCCCTTCAAGATATGTTTTTGGATCATTGTCAATTGATAAAAATATCTGTGCCAGCAAACATTCAATGTTTTATGAGAGGTAAAATCTAGTAATTTATGACTTAACTGTCACAAAGGCTAAAAATTTTATTTCTGCTTCAAACCTTTTATGGGAACATTCTTACCAGTTAGCAATTTTTATGCAGCTCTCCATATGTAATTGATTTAAAAATTTTCATAGGATGACGTAATCAAACATGAAGTCAGCGGATTGTGCCTCCAAGCAGATGATGAAAAGCTATCAATGGGGCCCTGTCGCGACAACAAGGCTAATCAAAAATGGCAGTTTTATAGCTACCCATTTGACAAAACGTAAATAAATTTTAATTAGAAAATTTCTGAATCAATCTTTTTGCCTAAAATATGTAGAACAGATAGAAATTATATTTTATACAAAATGAAATTATTCTAAGTCTAATAATTCAATATTTTGTAAACAACAGCGTCTCACAAAGTTGAATTTTTGTGTATCTTGTTTTCCGTGATAATATTTTATCTCAAGCAGATATAAGAATACTTTATCAATTACAGAGGAATTTTTAGCTTACATAAATGCCTGAAATATATAAATTCAACTTTTTTCAGATATATTTTGCATCACTTCAAGTCTGTGAAAGTTAATTAAAGAACAATCGCAAAGTTTTTATTTGCCACATCTTTCATATATACTTTTGAAAACTTCAAAACTTCTTCAAAACCTCTACAATAGCTCTGATGTATCTAAGATGCTAGGTCTGAAAATATTCACAAAAATATTCAACTTTAACGACCGAAATGTAAGAACTACGTTCTGGAAAATATCAATTATCTTGCAAAATATTGACTTTCTAAATACATATGTAGTAAAAATTAAAACAATACAATAGAGTTGTTTTGTTCATCTAAATTACTTAAAAACAATTAAAGATCGTTAAAATTTTATATCAACACTTTATTTTTAGAATCTCATTTCAAAATTTGTTCGTTTAAGCTGTAATTTATATTAAGAAGCAAATTATCAAAAACATATTTGTGAAAAACAAGGACTAAATAAAGCTTTTACATAATTGACACGCAAGACGTGACTTTCATTTAGGTATTACCTTATTGATACAGAAGTCATGGCTTTCATTTAGTGTTGTATTAAGGTTGTCTATTGAAAGGGGTGTAAAGTTTTCAAATTCTTGAGTAACTTTACCTGAAATGCAACGAAGTAGCTTAGGAAATGGGAGACATTGAATATTTGCATTCTACTACGTGGTTTATGTACCTCGTTTGTTGATCTTTTGGAGAATTATTGAGTAACCCCAAAGACGAAGGAACGACCCAGAGGCAAAGGAAAGGCTTTAAGCGAAGGGCATTAGAAAAATGATGCTTCGCTTCTTTTTATTCTTTTATGATCTGAAGAAGGCATCTTGAAAATGGGCCTTTTTCCTGGCATTTGGAAATTTCACGAAACGGCACTTTTTCTCCTTTGCCTCTGCAATCAAAAGAGCAGAGATACGTTTGTAATCCCTTAGCCCCCCCCCCCCCTTCACCGGTGCCACTGACTTACCCTGGACCTCGATGTGCGTTGAGGTTGTAAAAATCTAACTTTGGGTTTACATTGAAAGACCAATATAAATGTGGCCTGTGTTTATCACGATGATTGTGTTAAACTGTGTTACTGAATGATTTCACGAAATCATTGAATAGAATAGATAAAAAAGAATTATTCTATGATACACATTCCTAAGAAATCTTACTCCAATGAGTGCCCTCTCTCTGACTTCTCATTCTTGACCCACAGGGTGTTCATAAGCCACCTTAGGGATCAGGAACCAGAATCACTGGAGAACAGAAGGAAGGCTAAGCCCTTTATAGGGGAATCACAAAATCATTGCCCAATACAAAGTTAAGTGACGGAAATTGCGGGGGTGTGGAGGGGGGCAACTGTCCCCCCAGGTTTTGCCAAGTTGGCGGTTTTGTTGGTAAAATTATGTCATTTGTTGGCAAATTTGCTTGCTTTTGTGGGCATTGCCCCCCCCCCCACTTGAAAAATGAATTTCCGCCACTGACAAAGTCTAATGTTACGTATAATGTTCATTGTTTGCTGCAGAGTGGCTTTGCATTTAGATATGTCCTTAGGTTTTTGAGGACATCACTCCTCTTTACGTTCTTTGATCTCTTTGGGATCAAATCTCGAGCAAAATTCGTATAACATAGCTGCAGAGTGGAACCTAAAAAATACTACAAACGGATATGTCAATGCTGTAACAGTGGCCCAGTCACTGCCAAAAAATGCTGGACCACTTGGGTAGGATAACGTGGCACTATCTTTCATCTCAACAAAAGTATCAAGGGCCCAGAAACCCAAGTTGGTTGTCAACAGAAACAAGCAACATTGCCTTATTTTCCCACAGGACTGTCTTTGGTCACGTGTTACAATACATGCTTTGTACCTCCTTGACAAAATTATGAGAAACGTTTGTAGAATCTGGCCAGCAAGAAGAACGAGGAGGTGGATGATGGTGATAATGTACACTGTGTTATCATCGTTTGGTGCATCTGTTTTAAACTCTAAGCAAACGCTCACCATCGTGAGACAGTGAAAAGAAAATATTCCGATGAATCCGAGGAAGAGTAGGGTGTCGTCAGCACGCGTTTCATACTCGAATCTGTCGTGTTTTTGCAAATACTGGAATGCTAGGTATAGAACGACAATCTGGAAAAATGCCATAAGGCCCTCGTAGGCTAGGAAAAAATTGTGAGACCTCCTGCTTTGTTCCGTTTCTGGATTTTTGAATGTTAACGATGCTGTTACAAGGATGACCCCACAAACTGCACCGAGAATAAGGCCAGGCTGGGACCCTGCAGGTTTTACTTTTTGTGAGACCTGATGCTGTAGCACTGGCGCTGGTGCCATTTCACCTTCGTTTAACGGGGCAACATTACCAACCGCGCCCTGGCCGTTCTGCCCATCATTAAGGGCCATGTTCTGTACAAGGCTTTTCATCTGCGAGGATATTGACTGCAAAATGCCAGCTGCAATTAATGAGTACTCCAAAATGAAAGGCGTCATGAACTCTTCTGTGTGCCAGGCACTAGTGGTAATAGCGTCAAAACCATTGAATACGTGGTCACTTTTCCGAAATAGGCTAGTTTCGTTTAGGACGTACTTCAACCAGATGCAACCATTGGTGACGATTGTGTGGTACAGGGTGAACTTCACAAACCCCGATGAAGAGAAAGTGGCTGTCCGGAATGTTTGCATGAAAAATATCTGGATCAATGTAAAACAGGCCCTTGCAATGTCGTAGGCCACTTCTGTTTGGCAATAGCCGTCAAAATTGGTACTGTTTCCAGCAGTCTTGTTCCTCATCATGTTATCTCTGATTACTTCCATCGAATTCGCACTTATTTTGGGTAAGTTGCAATCAATAATTGCTTCGTATGCGTGGTAGTAAATTTGAAGTTTTAATGCTATGGAAACGAGAGCTCCTGTCCCAAACACGTAGACGCCAGCCATCAGGTATGTGTTTGAGTGAAGGTGGCCTAGGCGACCAAAGTTTACGAAGTTCTCGTCATTCTTCCGCAGGAGGCATACCAGCTGTACTAGGAACCCAGCTCCCATGAGGAAAATTAGGATAAAATCAGAATAAATAGTGGTGTGCGTGTTCCCGCGCTCAGTTACAAACAAGATCAGAAAAAATGCACAAAGGGTTGTAAATACATACATTATCCAAGGAACTTGTGAGCCAGCCATTGCATCCCTCATTGCCTTGCATATAAATGCATGCTGAACTTTTTTAGGGCAGCATAGTTTTGTGACCTTCTTGTCCGGCTCTTGCGCTGGCATGTCTATAACTAGGTAATCGTCTCCCACCAGTTGGGCTTCATCTCCATCATTGTGAACCGCCATCTTCGACTTTTTGCTTCGATTTATTTTGAAGTCCTTTCACTTCCAGAAGTAATGGGAATGACGTCATTTTCCAAGAATCCCAACATCCTCTTTGGTGAAAACGGAATTTTTCCTATGGAAAATAGCTGCTTGGCTGGAAACTTTTAGCAAGTGGGGTTTTTTGCGAAAAACCTTCTAGAAAATTTTTGAGAAAGAAAAACCTTCCAATTTTACGTTTTTATTGACTTTACCTTGATTTAAAAGAAAGGTCAATGCTTTTACGAAAACTTTTTGGCGGATGATGTTTGCCGTTGTATTAAAGACTTTACTAAACGGTTAGTCAACTTCCCCTTTCGCTTCTATATACATGTAAGGCTAACCCCAAGCCAAGTATATTTCGTGCTTCAGACGGGTTGATATTCTTTTGTTTTTGTGGACAATGCTGAACTTTGAGTGTAAATGAAAATATCAATAGAAAGAAAGAAGAAAAAGCTGAAAGAACTTGGAGATATGATATTGTTCGTCCTATTGCAAACTTGAGGGCTTTGCCTATTCTTGCCGCCATTTATGATAATTTTAATTAACTAGGTTTCTTATGAGTGTAAAGTGTATGAGTGTAAGTATAAGTCTCAGCGTGAAACTCCATTCAAACATAACAAAATATTTTACAAGTCATGTGTTAGAAGTATGTGGAGGGTAGTAAGCAATCTTGAATTATGACACTAATGTTGCTAATGTTTTGAGAACAATTGACCAGGAAGTACTTGTCCTTCATTTACGGTTCTGATAATGCACATGGTCCACTCGCTTATCTCAAGTTTATAAGATGGGCGCTTACTTCAAATTTTTGGAAAATTGTGAAAGGTAATTATTGCATATTAAACACAACTTTCCCAAGCATCACATAAAGAGAAGTCACAAAATAACAAGAAAAAGTAGTAGAGAAAAGCATTAGAGCAAAATTTGAAGTCTATAGATAGCTGTACAGACTGTCGGCGGCATCGTCTACATTGAATTCTTCTGCTCACGTTTTTATGAAAAGAAGGATAATTGCCTCTATCATTTGCTGAACTTTCCTATATTTCATTGAGGGTTTCTACAGAATTCTTGTCTTTACCAAGGCTAATTTTCCTATAATTCATTGGGGGCTTCGACAGAATTCTTGTTTACCAAGGCTAATTTTCCTTTTATTCATTGCATACTTTGCTGAATTGTTGTCTTTGCTGAGGGAAGTTTTATTCTCATGGACAGAAGGGCTGCAGCGTACCTTTGTAGCGGGCTTAACTGGGGCTACCATTTGCTAAGTACTTGAAACCACCTTAAAAAGTTTACAACAGGGTACCAAATCCTAATGTTTCAAAATTTGAATGGCCTCTTGTTGTCGCAGCGTGTTTGTTACAGGATGTACAATATCACTGTAACGGTATATTGCAGCATGTGCAAACAGCAAAATGAATCTGAAGTTCGTTACCAAAGCAGTAATATAAACTAAATGATAATAAAAAATGGACCCCTCTGTCCCTTTAGACGTATCGCCATAACTATGGCACCAACAACAGCTTTTCTCTTATTTAAACAGTCGTTACTGATATGTTTTACACAAAACGAAACATCGTTAATAAAGATTCAACATAGGTAGAAGTTACACGTGGAGATTTATGATGCCTTTTGGCTGGTTGTGGATGATCTTAATTGCGCTTCTTTGCAATCGTTCATATTTATTCGCCTTGGTGTCAGACACTACGAGTACAGGAGTTGAACAATATAATATTTTTGGGAGAACAATAGCTTTGTAGACTGATTCAGCTGCAAAAGTTGATAGCGAATGTCTCATTTTTTTCAAGAGCTTTATGTGAACAGCGACATTTTTTAGAATCTTTTGAAGATGGTTATTCATGTCAAGTGATTGATCCAGTGTCACTCTCAAGTACTTATATCCACTTACAAAATTAATGAGATGTTCTTTGAATGAGACTTTCGAATTTCTTTGTGAGTCTTTTTGCAGTTCCAAACAGCATTGATTCAGTTTTCCCTTTTTTTCAAATTTATTATCGATCTGCTATTGTCTAGCCGTTTAGCAATGTTTTTTATCTCAGCAGTTAAACCAACCAGCCAGTCTTGAAAAACCAACCATCAGGGACGGACTTAGCGGGGGTGTAGCAGCCACGTAGCTGCAGGGGGGCACGGGGGGGGGGGGCTATGCCCCCCAAATGAAAATTTTTACAACAGCTTGCCCCCTCTGGCTACAGTTTCTCCAAATGATATTTTGAAAATTTAGCATATTTATAATTCCATGACCTTGATTTTGTCCAAATATATCTGTTTGTTATATATCTGTTTTCTTGGTTTAAAGCCTGCCCCCCTGAGGTATGGCTCTTGCTCGAGTTTGCCCCCCTAGTCGACACATATAGCTACGTGGTTGGGGTGTAGGGGGTGCGACATCCCCCAATATTTCTGTCTCCTTCGGTAAATTTGGTTCCATTCGGTAAAAATCATTTCTTTTCTAGTCAGTATTTATCTCCTTAATATCAGTATTTATCTTCTTATCGGTAGCGTAGTGGAGGGAGGCAAGGGGAGCGGCCGCTCAGAAAGTCGGTGTCTGAGAGAAGTACAAATCTGCAATAGAATTAGTACCTTAAAGAGGGAATTTATATTTCAGACAATATTAAAACGTTTTTAAAGACTGCAAACAACTGTAAGAAATATTCGGAAATGTATTTCAAGCTAATCTGAAGGGCCTCATCGCAAAAATATTTTTTTCGCTTCGCTCGCACAGAAACCCTCCTTTATAACTCTACAGAATGCTCAACAATTTATCCCACGTTATAGGATTTAAATCGAAAAGTCTTCCACGTTCTTTAGACAATCCTGATAAAATAGAAACTAAAATGCTAAAGCGCTTCAATTCTTAAAAAAGGTTGGATTTTGAAATGCTTGTCGGGGATTTTGCTCCAAGGAAAAGGGAATTAGTTTAAAACATTTGAATCCTGTTTGTTGTTTTTAAATATTTGATTAAAACTGTGGAGAATCAGTTTTTACACGTAGTGCTTCCTCGCCTTACACAATTCAGAATGTAAGCATTAGATGAATTGTCAAGGAAATAGGCAGTTATAGAATGGGTTTAGCCACAAAAAGTCAGATATGACGTTGTATAAAGCGAAATTACCACGTAAAAAAGCCATAGCTTTTCCAAACGCTTTTGCAAAATGGGGTGTTTTCCTAAGTTCTTAAGGGTGTGGTCAGCAAAAATTTTCTCCTCTTTGCCCCTCCAATCTTCCAAACCTGGCTACGCCACTGCTTCTTATCGTCTTTACCTTAAAGTTAAAAACGGAATTTTAAAAATGGGCGTTTCCATAATTTACCAGTGACCTGAAGGGTGTGGCACCAAAATTAGTGTTTAACACCCCCCAATCACTGTTGCTTAGATCCGCTTTTGCCAACAATCTCACAACATTTCTCTTCCCTGTGATCAGGCTACATTTTTTACGAAACGCTTTCAGAGTTGGGTTCGATCCTTATAACTTTAAGCGTATCAAATTGTGTAGGAAGTTAAGGAAATTTCATACTGGATTCTCAATTTGCACATGTTTGAAGTCATACGAGCAAAAAGTGGCTACCGAGGTCCTGATCCAGCCAAAAGAAAATTTATGCACGGTCATATTCTATTGTACATTCGGGAAGTGGATGACGCCCTTAGAAATATGTTTGAATCACTTCCTATGTCTGCAAAATGCAATGGAGCGTCTCTCCACCCTACCCTCGTCAAGTTCTTTGGGAAGATATCGCCGCCCAATTTTTTTTAAAACTGGGGGACTCGAGCCCCTTCCCCTTGTGAATGCCACTGTGGGCCCCACATCAAAATTAATTTTAAAATTAACGGCCACTAGAGGAAGGCAGGTATGACAGAGAAGAAAATTACGAAAAAATCTTCGCCAACAATTCCTTGTCCTTTTTTTTGTAGCAACCATGGCACTCAGGGGCCCCCGGCTCGACAATCCGACAATCTCCTCGACGAAACAAAGATACCCATTATGTCCAGTACATGACTCCATATTGTGCCCGCCAAATGAGCAACGTTTGGCACGCACGTGCCTGGGCTACAGCGGCCAATCAGGTTAGAGCACCCACACTCTAAACCAATTATTGCTCGTGCCATTGATCATAATCTTAGACCGTAACAGGTTCGAATTTCAAATCATAATTCTGTAGATCTTTATCAATGGTTAAAGCTCGCGCTAGGCTGTCTTCCGCACTGGGCATAACGAATTTGAATTGTAAACCAGACGAAGGACGAATTTCTCGGCAATGAAGAGGCATCTGCAAGACATAAGCAACCACGATGAGTAAGTTTTCACTCACTTGTTGGCCTAAATATGAATCGGTAGAATAGGTTTGTGGTATGCAATTATTTAAAGCAAATATTTAGACCCGTTGAACACGTGCGGTAATGAAAATACAGGGCAGTTTGATTTGAGGAGATTGTCTGTTACTTCCTATACGAGCCCTTTTTTGTTTATTTTATTAACACAATTCGTTTAACTCTAATGAAGTATTTTCCACTGGGAACTTCATCTTGACATAAATTTCCTGAATTAGATTTTCTTTTCCAGAAATCTTGGATACATCGTTAACCTACCCCGAACATACAAAGTTATCTAAGTTAGGCTAGCAAGGGTTTTCCAGTGGGTTGTCGAGGCAAGCCCGCGAAACACCTATCGATCGATTTCAATTGACTCAGAAGATCAATTGTTTTGATGTCCTCAAATCAAAAGGAAAATAATCATTTGAAGTAACATCGCTTCGAAATATTTGCTTTTTCATGCTAATGGGATATATTTTCTGTTCTAGTGTCAACTGTCCCGCACGTGAGACTCGATCACCGGAGATTCGAAGGCGCAGAGTGGTAAGAAACGATTTTCAGATTTCGAAATCTTTCTTAAGATAGGCCCCTTCAAACAATGTTTGAATCCCTGCTATTGGAAATAGTTTGAAGGCTATTTATCGCCCTTGCAGCTGTGTCAATCTTTAACGTGCAGCATGTGAGTCGGAAGGCAAGCTCATCATTATGATTTAAAAGGGGCAATATTTCATATTGGGCGCAAAACTTATTTTTTTAGCGAGATGAAAATGGGGGAGGGGGGGGGGGGAAGTAGTTTGATAATCTTGCTTCACCCATTGCTTAAAACAGCAATGCCGTCTATACATTTATTTATTTGTGATCCTTTTAGTTTTTAAACTTTCTAAAGAAAAAGCGATAGCATAAAATCATATCGAATAGTTTTCCAAGTGTTTACACAGAAAAACGTCATTTGGATAAAAAATGACATTTCACATGCCAATGCCTCGATTACGCTCTTCTATTGCATCAAAGCTTTACCTATTGCATTTACGGTTGGCTGAATTGAATTTAGAAAAATTAGTAACATAAAGCAATAAAAAAACGTGGACAGTGCAGGCCCACATGGACTGTTACTCGCGGGGAGACCTTTTCCACTTTTTGAAACGTGGGGTTGTTTTTCTAGTCAAATGTCAATATCATAGAATCGAAACTGCCTGTTTTCAATGCATTTTGAAGTGCTATTTATGTTTAGAAAATAGAGCGTGCGATCATATGATCCCTCTTATAAAGCGCTTTGAAATAACAAAGAATAAGGAATTAGAGGCATGCATATTGTCTGGGCAACCTTCCATCCAAAATCATACGCATGTCATGGGGGTGGGTTTGTATTTCTATGGATACGCGAGCTCTCTAGCCTGTACCAGGGGCCCTGATCAAATGATACTGTTGAATGAAATAATTTATAGTTCTCTCAGAGCCAGCCTCTAGGTTGTTCAGCAAATAAGAGATGTGCTCAAGTCTTTTTCACCTTTTGGCAGACAAAAGCCAGTTCGCAGACTATAAAAGACTTTGGCAAGATCCTGGGTGCGCTAACAGTGCACAGTAATTATCTGACAAGGCTAGGTGCGCTAGCACAAAATATAAATTTTTCAAATTTTGAATTCAATGTATGGTACGCCCACAACACTATACCGTGTTTGAATCTTGGGTGCACCACCGCCATTCTCTAGAAAATGATTTTAGGGAAAACCTGCTGATAAATGACTTTTACTCAAAATTTCTGAGATTTCTGAGACGATATTTTCCAATTGTCTGCTCCATCTTATCCCTTTTCTTGCCCATTACCAGTCATGTTTTTTCGTGCTAACCCCGTTAACATTTATTGCCTAGCTTATCTTAATTTTGTCATGAAATACAGATTGAATTCTGCCATAAAAAAACACTGAACATACAATCATAAGCCAGAATGGCAACTTGTGTTTTGAATAAGACGGTAGTCTCATTTTTTCTCGATATTCAATGTCAAAGTTTTGTAAGAATGTTCAACATATCTGGCGGAATTTTGATTAAATCGCAGTGCTCCAAATTCATCACAGTGTATCAGGCTGCGTCTACACGGGGCCGGCCGAATATTTGGTCGGCCAAAAATTGGGCCTGCTTTTGAAGCCGGCCACAAAGGAGGTCACTTAGGCGTTGTGTTTACACGGGGCCGCTCAAGTGACCTAATTCTTATGACTTGCGCAATGTGTCAAAAACTTGAAGCCAAAAATCATTGTGAACAAAGAGCTAACAAAACAACTTCTCTCATTCTCTGTTCTCGTGTGCTCTCTTCGCAAAATTCTGTTTAAAGAGGATGGCTGATATAACTGCTATCAATGATTGGAAACTTACGATGTTTGCTATGCTTTTTATTTTTTAATTTCAAAATGAGTCTTTCGACGAAAGTCACTCAAATTTTCAGCAAAGCACAAGCTACAAACGCAAAATCTAACCAGTGACACTAACCAACAACAATACATTAATTTCGGCCCCAAAATTTCAATTTCCCATTTTGTGATTGCCTCCGTAGCACGCATCGACACCCTCTTTTTGGTACCGTGCAAATATTTGACCGGCCATAACCGTTTACACGAGGCCGCTCGCGAATTCGGCCGGCCAAGTTTCAAGAAGGACGCTTTCCTAAGTGACCTAATTTGAGGTCTTTTAGCCGGCCCCGTGTAAACGCAAGGCCTAAGTGACCAAATAATTGACCGACCAAATATTCGGCCGGCCCCGTGTAAACGCAGCCTCAGAGACCAACCTGCTGTAAACTAATCATAGTACAATGGTTTTCCCAATTTTTTAACCCAGTACTTCCTAAACCTCTTAAAGGAATTCATATCTTTGATTATATTGGAATATATTGGAATTTATTTAAGCCTCTACCCGGCTCGCCAGGGGTACTAAAAGTTGGTGTGGATAGCGAGCATAGAATGACGCTATAATAGAACGCTTGGCCCTTATCGCGTACTACTTCGTCCGTCCCTCGTTCGGCATGACAATAAAGCCTGGTTTCCATACCGTCGTAAGCGACGGGCACGTGTCCCGGCAGAGGATCGGCGATGCTGCTGGGACGCTTATGATGATATGGAAACGTGTTTTATAGTGATGTCCCCGACGTCCCCGTCATGTCGCCGACGTCCCCGTAGAGATAAAAAATGTTGAACTTTTGAGAACATCCCCAATGCATCGCCGTCGTGTCCCCGTCGATGCGGGGACAGTTTTCCAAATGGAAACCACACACTTGTTCAATTATTCACTTCGAGATTGATAATAGTGCATTGGAGACTCTAGCAAAATGGCTACTCGAAGCTCCACTAGCGGCGAGCAATTGATGGAAGTTATTCAAAACTTTCCGTGCATATATAACAAAAGAAGCAAAGATTACAGGGAGTGTTAAAGAGTGTTAAATTGTCCAAAGTCCAGCCTTGTCTTTAAGAAGTCCCGCACCCACATTTTGTGTCTTCTTTCCTGCTTTTTTTCTCAGCCTTATTCTTCTCAATGCTAAAAACGCGTAAATCATCTTCATCTCAATAAGTGTCTGTACAGCTACCATGATTATTAGCACCAAATGGTCAAAAGCGCGCGAAAATACAGCTCTCCGACGATATGACTGGGACACGTCCCCGTCGTTTAAGACTTAACAAGTAAGCCCTCGCAAAGGAATATCGAAAAGCTACATAGAAAATTTTTGCTTTGGGATTAACATGGATTGTTCATTGATTTTTATACCAGCTGGTCAGTTATAGAGATTTTAAGTTGAAATGGTATGCTTAAAGTTAATTCTATAACAAAGTAGTAATTAAAAGAGCAGAACGTCGTGGCTAGCTGGTATGTTGCGGTCGCCTGTGCCTTTCTGTTCTTCGTAAAGAGCTTTTCCAATGAAAAAGTGAGGGCTGCTATTACTAATATGGTTGACATCATGTATATTATTTTTATTATCTCTTGCTAACAAAAGCAGCTACCGCCGCAAATTGAGAAGACCAAAAGATTATTGTCTTCCTAACATGCACCAGCCGAAGAATACCACTGTTCCCTAATTAGACAAATGCAGTCGGAAATTGAGGTGTGGATTTTTGCTAACGAAAATCACTTTCTCAAAGCGCCGTGTTTCCCGCTTTCGACTGCAAAAAATTATGGTCATTTTAACGTGACATCCAATGCAAAATTGAATATGCAATTGTCGAGTGTCACCCAAAGACACAGCGCTCGTTCAGGTCGTCAAGAGACAGCTTTCCCACCGTCCATTTGACGTTGTTTGTAACTTTTGCTCGCTTACTTTTTATAACGTACCCCTGTAGCTATAAAAGTATTTTTCTGTAGCGGGGGCGGCATTGCGGTGGGCTGTGATGGGCGTTGGTGCTGATCAATTTTTTTAATAATTCAATTTGTCAAATATAAAAATATATCAAAAATATACAAAAAAACCAAAAGCTTGACTGGAATTGGTTTTTTGTAAAATTTTGAGTTGCCTGGTGATTTTGAGTTGCCTCAAACTCAGAGTCGGAACTTAGAACCATCCTATTCTTTACACTTCAATGCCATCCTATTCTTTACACTTCAATGCCATCCTATTCTTTTCAACTTGCTCTTTCTATACGGCATCAAGCACTTTATGAGAACTTGGTAAACAGACCGAAATAGCACATTAATATGCATTTTCATGCAGTGGCGGATTTAATGGGGGGCAACTAGGGGCAGTTGTCCCTCCCTCAATGAGTTGAAGCAAGTCTGACGCCCCTTTTTTGGAAATTGTGTGCCCCTTTTAAACAATGAGAATCAGATGAAAAAGGTTCTTGGACCGATAGTTTAATTTGCTTCAAGGATAACCTCAAAGTTATGTTGTTTATTCTGAAAAGGTATCTGAAATTGTCGTATTCAGCGTACTTTCGTAACCAGTTTTTGAAAAATTTTCAGCGCCTCGACTACCAACTGCCTCTCCTTCAAATTTGCTCTGGATCCGCTCCTGTTTTCATGCGCTATTACATTCCATTTGTCATAAAGCACTGGCATTTGATTTTGCAGGAAATGGAAAAGCGAAGAAGAGACAAAATCAATTACTACGTTAACGAATTAGCAAACTTAGTCCCTGCTGCGGCCCAAAAAAAAGTGAGTCCTTGGATATATGGAGTTTTTAATTTATTAAAAGGAAGGTCTGCCCTTCAGAATTTTTTCTGACCTTAAGGAACCTTTCAGACACCACAGATGCTGCTAAATGCAGCTACATGTTTATGTTCTAGGAAATGAGACAAGTTTAGGTCTCAGTCCTCTTTGTGCACAGTCCATGTACGAAAAGCAAAAAATGTTCCCTTCACTGTATGAATCCCAGCATCTCAGTACAAAACAAAAACTTATTATTCCTTGAATGCTTAATTCCTTGAATGCTTAAAACTTTTTTATGGCCTAAAGTGCCTGTCGATAAAAGATAATTCTAGAAAAAGACTAGCTAGCTTCAGGATATTAAAGTTTTGCATAATGCTAGTTTTGATGAAAATCATTTATCTTTTTGCTTATTTACGTTCGTACATAAGTAGAAATCAAAGAAAATGCTTCTTAAATTATTATTCCCATTTACTTCAGGGATGCGCAAAGTTGGAGAAGGCAGAAGTCTTAGAGCTTACAGTGGATCATGTGAGAAGTGTATTGAAAGGAAATCAATCGCAGAAACCTTTGACATCACCTAACCTCGAGGACTGGATTCGAGCTGAGGGAAATAATCAGGGCATGTCAGGTAAATTCAGTTGTTTATATCACTAATTAGAGTTTAACTTGAGCGTTTTGAGGACTTAGAATATAATAGCAATTGCCATAACGCAAACAATGTTTTGCAGCAATCACTGTATAAGAGATATCAACCCGAGCACTCGACATTCAATAAGATATCACTGGCCGTGGAAAAAGACGTCTTTTGACGGACGCACCTGGATTTGTTTAGAATCTTAAAGTATTACCATAAGATTTATATCTTAAAGATTTACCATCTGTTTTTCCAATATTTACCATATTTGCGTAAAGGATCTTAAGTTCGTAACTAAACACACCGATTTAACTTGTTGTTCGTTTAGGCCCACATCAAGAAGGAAACTTTTGTCCGGAAAAAGAGCGAAGACGCGGTTTTCTAGCGTGCTTGCATCATATTTCACAGTTTTTGGAGAAAAGTGAATCGTTTTTGGAAAGTAACGAAAAATTGATCTCGTCCATGAAAAGTTTTCTCAGTGGCCATTCATGCGAAGGCGATCAAACTCCGCATTCAGAACTCAGGGAGTCTATTTATGATGCATATATCTCACAGAACAAAGGGTGCTCGTCCAACGATGTAACATACGAAAATATTTTCTATAAAATATGCATGGATTTTCTCAAAAACAATTCTGTTCCCCGTCAAACAGAGGGGAAGGGAAACGCTGTAGAGAAGGCAGAGGAACAATTTTCAATTTGGGAAGCCATGCCAGAGGTGCAAAATGATATTGGCCTAAATTATGAAAGTTTTGCTTCAGTTGATGACCTAACGCCTCCATATGGCTCCTTCATGTCTTTACTGAATAGCTATTAGAAAGCCTCATTTGGATTACCCTGGTCAATGAAGATCTCTACACTCCTAAGCTGATATGAAGAAATTACCTATGCAGAAAGTAACTTAGTCTTGATCAACTATAAGAAGGTCGGGATTGATTCCCTTGTTGTAAACTCTTCAATTTGTATGTTAGAACATCTGGGGTTGAATAATAAGTATGTAAAAATATTATATCATCAATAACATTATCGAATGTAATAGATCATGTTAACTTATATATTAATGAATTCCAAAGCACACTGCCGAGTTTAGTGCGGTTTGATTTTCTTAAGTTTAAGTGGGCCATGTGGCTTTTCAGCTAGTTGTCTGGGAAATTTATAATTAGTATTGTGCTAGAGAGCATGGGCGTAGACTTGCATTTTTTTCAGAGGGGGCTCAAAAAACTAATGACAATTCCTAATGGCAGCTGCTGATGTCACAGGATAAAAAGTGGATTAGCTAAAGGCATAAAGGTGATTTTTCCGTGCCTTTTTTCATTATCGAGGAAGAAGAAACACACAATCTGACCTTATGTTCACAATAATTTCATCCTTTACTTTGCTGTAAACGCAATTATCTAATGTAACAAATCTTATGCGTGAAACCAATAATATAACAAATTAATCTCAAAGTTGGTAAAGCACTTCCTTATCTTCTAGGGGGGCTCAGCCCCCCTCGGTTTTCGTCAGGAGGGGCTGAAGTCCCAGAGCCCCCCCCCCTAAGTTTACGCCTATGCTAGAGAGTCATATATAAATTCTTTTAAATAGAATCAAGAACTAGCAAGCCAATTAGTGGTTTAGTATTTGCCTATTAGAAATAAATGAAATGTAAAATGCTTTACTGTGATTTAACTATGACTGAATGTTGCAGCTTTCTGTGAATTAGACATTTCTCTAGCACTCTTTATGTCCTCTCCTCGATCATTGATATTATACAATGCTCTTGATTTTCCTAGAATGTAAACGTTCCTTATTTTTGTCTTAAGTAACCATGTTGTCGATATTTGGTAAGTTGTTTTGTTGGATAAGTCCTTTGTTGCGTTTTAACTGTTGTTAAGAAGATTAGTCTTAAATGGCATCTGTCGTGTTAGCAGTTGGCTAATGCAACAAAAACGTTGAGAGTGGAATTTCATTGTTTCTTGACATTTCATTTCTGAATCATGAACTTTAACTGCCATGAACATCCATTCTCGAACCCAGGCTTTGTACTAAATAAAAACAAAAATTGTATTACGTTAACTAATCACTTTCACGACATATGCCCTTAAATCGTCTTTAAGCAATTTCTGGCATTTTCGTAGACGCAATATCTTGCTACAGTTGAGTAGAGTATTAACGAATTTCGTAATTTGTATGTTTTTTGGCTGTATCGTAGTTGCCTTTAACGATTTGTGAAACAATGAATTAAAATCTTATTGTTGTGATGATCATAATGGCTGATAAAGAGAGAAACTGAGTTTTCAAATTATTTTTATAGAACACTGGTTTGTTGTTAATATTTAGTACATCGTTTATCTTAAGGTCTTAACTGTATATCTTAAGAGGTTCTTCACAGAAAGTTAGTTATAGGGCAAAATGCATCAACACGTAAGGTCAATAAACAAAATTCTGAGTTTTTTTAGGCAAAGGATGAGTCTCAAAAAATTTTCTGTGACTAGTCTCTAACTATCTTTCTGGCATTAAATAATGGAGACTCTGTCAGGTACACAATCTGCACCTGACTTTCCCTGGTTCCTGCGCCCCTGATTTTGTGTCTGTGTAAAGGCGTGGCTTTGTCGCTTGACTATTGTTGCATATATTTGACGATGTTGCACATACACCTAAGGCAGTGGCTGAACCTGTCGACTTTGTTGCAGAAATTGTTGTGCAAACAAATATGGAATAAAGTGAATAAAAAAGAGAAAGTAGACGCGACTACTCAATAACATGAACTTGTGGTTAGAAAAATTTAAAAATAGCTCTAGCTTGTCATTGTATAACTGAATTAACTTAACCAGATGAGCTTTCTGTTAATATAAGACTGGATCTTCTTTATTTAAGACCTTTTTTTTCTTTATCACCATTTTTGGATTCCTTTTATCCTGAAATATTTAAGCCACAGTTCTTGTAACAAAATTTTGCCTTAATCGCTTTTTGGATCATCGAATGTGCCATGTCTTGTGTTAGAAAAGGCAGATACAAAATAGCATTATAGCAGGCAAATAGACGAGATCTTGACCATAGAAAGGGACTTCACTATTCCTGGTAAGAAATTACAAGGCACAGAAACTACATATAAACGTTCGAAGTTTGATAACACAAAATCGAAAATTTTTTGAATCAGACAAGATACTTATTAAGTTGTGATAATACAGTAGTGTCTGATGATATAAGATGTAAGAAACACCTTTTTTGATTTCAGGTCTGATGCGTTTCATATAAAATGAGATATACACTTAAAAGCAGGGTAATGTTTCTTATACAAAAAACCATATGCTACATCATCATCTACTCAGACATTAGCTCGATGATTGTGATAAGAATACCATTATATTTTGAATTTTATTTGTAATTTCACATTAAGGAAAAGCTACAATTATTCCAGGAAAGTGCTTTGAGCTTAGTTTGCATTCAAATTCTTTTTCATTTGACCAGGCTCAGTTTGATTGAACTGGAAAGCTGAAAACAAACAATTCTTATGGTCAATGATTGTAAACCCTCACTTATCCTTTTATTTAAATAACTGACAAAATAGTAAGTGTAGAATGATTAATGTTTTGTTCTGTTTTTCAAAGAATTAGGTTATGTGAAAGTTTTTGAATAAGAAAAAAACATTTTTTCAGACCTTCACCAGTTTCTTATCAAAGGGGTTATTTTTTTTAAAATCAGGGTCTGTGTTTCCTGAAATTGTGTTTCTTATATGCGGGACACTATTGTACAATTCTATAGATTTTTATGTTAAAATTACTTCCTCAGCCTCAGTCTGGTACCTCCACAGGATCACCCATAACCCTTGCGACCAATGAGGTGTAGATTGAGTGTCCTTTTCAATGTTTTGTTACGTTTTTGTCTTTCTAAAAATTAGCCTATCAGCACTTGTTTTAAACAAACCTTTAAGGAGCTTTAGGTACAAAAATCGACAAACAATCTAATGCATCTATTCTGTGCTTAGATTCATAAAAACCATATGGATGTATTTTGTGGAAAAAATGGTACCATAGAGAAACAATTTTTAGAGACACGGTGCTTTTATAACGTCTCAAATTAGATGGAGAGCTTTTATATTTCATAGGTGCCTAGGATCCCCACATATTTCAATAAAACACTGATTGCGTCCGTCCTTTAGGGCACTACCATGACAACACATGACAGCTTTTAAAGGAAAACCAATACAAGCAGATTGAATCAAATGATTATCAAGATTTTATGAATTCTGTTTCGTAAGCTAATCACTTCCTTTCAATGGTCTCAAATTTCAATTTCTCCCTTTTCAAATATTGACATTCTGATAAAGAACCCTCAGAGGACTGTGGCAAAGACACAAACCCATGCGGCATTGTTGAAATTGTTCATACCGTAACTATTTTAAGAAACTTCCATTTATACTTTGCTGCAAGGTGACGGTGACATAGCTCCGTGCATCTATCAAATGACCTAATAATGACCCATGTAGGCGGTGTAGGGAATCCGATGTTTGAGAAGGTGATAGTTTACCATTGTTCGTCTGGCATAGAATCTGTCCAGACACCGTTTTCAGTCATTCCTATTTCCCGGACAAGGAAAGGATCAACCTCAGCCACGAAAATAAAGTTTCCAGTGGAGCGTATTTTTTAGATTTGTGCGGTTGAATCAGGATTTTCGCCGTATTGCGCGGTAAGTTTCTATATTTTCATCTTTCAACAGTGGGTTTTAGAGCTTTGCAAGTATTTAAAGTATCTTTCCTCTTCTCAAGGTGAACAGAGAAAAAATTTAGGCCACTTCCTCTTTTTTCAAATTTTCCGCTTTGTATTTAATATAAGGAGATGTTATGTAGAAGCTATTCATTCCGACGAAAGTTTCAATGAGAGTTTTTCCACCGGCACCAATAAATTGATCGTAACGTATTATATTACTAGATACTCTATGAAACATAAACTATTTTTGCCAAGATGTTGGTTCTCCGGTTAGGCAGGGCTATGGCTGTGAAAATCTGATTTATCACCTAACCGAGATGATCTCGATGGTTTTATATACTTTCGAGTATGGAGATTCAGAATCCAAGATGGGACCAAAAAAATTTTGCCTCAGTATCACGTGATTGATGACGTCATCGATAACGGCAAAAACAGTCATAAATCCGCCATATATTTAAAATAAATTGTAAAAATTAGCATTTCTAGGTTTTATGTGAATGCGCATTTCAAGAGCTTTCAATTAATGTATCATATAATCGAGTTTGCTGACGTTTGCCTATTTTGTGACGTCATTAGTGGATTTTCCCAAGTTCTGCCACAACATTTGTGCTGATAACTAAGTGAGTTGGAATTCATTGCGAATGCGCTAAAATTATGTCGATCTAGATATGTTTGATACTTCTTGACATTATTTGACTATGCTTGACACTAGTAAGTCATAATAATCATCATAATGCACCTGTATAGTGCAACAGCAATGACGAAAAAGCAGTTTATTTACAGAGCGACTCTACACCTGGTCGCTGCAAGCTTTTTTACAAGTATTGAAACAGGATTATCTAGCAAATATTATTTGAAAGCTAATTCCATTCCAGTGTTGAGCTAAAAGTCTTCTCTCTGCTTCCTGGTATAATTACGTGCGCGTTGGTAGTATAAATTTCGTTGCAGCCTTAGCTTCCCTAGTTCCTGCCGGCAGTTCATCGAGGAGCTCTGCCCTTTTCCTGGAACTTTCTGGAAGCACAAGACAACACAATAATTGTGCTATAATTGCGCAAAGTTGGTCCTTTTCTACGGCACGCCTCTGGGACCGGGCTGAGAGAATTATAGGCAAGGAAGAGCGTCGATCCATTGATAGGCGCGAAAAACCGCGAAAACACCGCGAAAGCGGCAAGAAACGTGATGGAAAGTATCAGTCCTAGAGAGGCACATAGCTAATCCAAAGATGTGACATTTGACGTATGTTTGAATTCAGTTTTACATATGACAAGAATATATGGTGCCAGAAGTAAAAACAAAATCATGTCATTTGAGACAAAACGAAATAAATTTATTTTAAAAGATATTATAAAAAGTTATTTTATCATATACCTGTTTGTCAAACCTATTAATGCCCCTTGAAAAAAAACCTAGAATGTCTACTTTTTAGAAGCAATTTGCCAAATGTGTAGGTTTTGTAGTCATCGATCTAATTATTTTCCTTCCTGAAGAACATAGCAAGGGTTGATTTAATTTGGTTTTAGCTTTACTTGCACTCTATATGTTATTTCTTGTTATCTATATGTTATTGCTGCCGCCTATACTTAACGTCACTGATTCAGGGAGAATTAATTGCATCATAAATATTCATTTAGGCACGATAACCAATGATTTGAAGTAAGCTGAGTTTCTGATTGTTCTTACAAATAAATTTTAATTTTGAATTCCCGTTCGTTAAGTTTTAACAGTGTTTGCACACTATGAGTTTGCGTTTTGCTTAATGCTGAATAGCGTAGATTTATAAGACTTTGACTAATCAAACAAACAGAAAGGAGCCACCTGTAGTGAAGAACGCCTTTGCTTTTCAAACTGGCCTGTTTGAATCAACTACAAGTGGTTATTCCATGTCATCAGGGCCTGATTTTGTCCTTTTCTCTTGCTCAAACCAGTCGTGTATTTGGTTTCTCGCAGCTTCAAATGCAGACAAAAACTGGAACAAGTAAGTTGCTCTCGAAAAGTCTTGTGTGGATATTTCTTATATTCTGATTTTTCTAATACTAGTAAATTTAAGTAGTTTGACCATATAGTTTTTACAAGTTAAGTTAATCCAGAGAAACTTGTTGAAAACATTTCTGTAAAAGTTTGACTATGTTAGACTTTCTCTATAGACTTGCTGATAAAAAGTATTTCCTTGAAATGTTCATCACGACAGGCTATTTGTGAATAGGCCTTGAGTTTGGAATATGTTGTATAAGGAGGCAATGCATGCAGGAAACTGTTCACTTGCTTTACCAGTGTAATCTGGGTGAAATACTGGACAATTTGAGGAGGATTGCAAACGTTGAAATGTGTAAAAAGTGAAATTGGAGACAGGGGCGTAACTTGGCCAATAGGTTTGGGGGGGTGAAAAGGGTTTCTGCCCTGCAAAACTGAGTGGTGCCCTGCAGACCTCGTAGCAACGGTTTGTCTATAGGTTACTAGTGAAAGCTTTACCAGTGTACACTGGTCTTTACCAAGGACAAACTTCTAAGCAATAAAAACAAACTTGAAACTTCATTGCCTAAAAAATATCTATTTCTCTACGTGAGCGTAAATTGTTTTTATATAT